AAACACACTAAGTAAACTATATAAGCAAAGTGTGTTAGATTAATAACCTAACTAAATAATAACCTAATAAATAAACCTAATTAATAACCTAGAATCTAGAAGAAGTCTCTAGAAATCTAAGATAACCTTAGGAAAATAAGTATAAATAATCCCCTTTTCTCCCTCTATCCAGACAGTTAGTCTTAGTTAAAAATAAGTAAGAAATACAATATATTATATTATAACTATATTCCTTATCTCCTATTTTCTATCTTATCTTATCTCTTATCTCTTATCTTTATATTACCCCTTATTACCTCTAAAACCTTTTATTAGCAGATAGTATAGTAAATAAAAGAGACCTTTAAAAAACGACTTTAACGAGATTTAAACCTATAACCCCTAGATCTTTAAAGATTATATATTTCCTTTATAAAGCCTATTATTAAGTTTTTCCTAGAAATATATAGGAACGTCTAAAAGAGCTCTAATATTAATAGAAAGGTTAGACTACGCTAGGGCCTAACTTTATTTAGTTAATTAATACTTATAATAAGCTTCTTCTGTTTAGGTTTAAGATATATACTACTATTAATATATACTCCTAATATATTATATAGTTTTATATAGGATTCTCTATATATATAGCCTAATCTATACTTACCTAGTACTTATCTATTATCCTTAAGCAGAAGTATATACCCTCTACTATTTATTTAGACTATAGTATAGAAGTTACCTTTACTATAAGAAGGTATTAATATCTTTTATAAGAGTATATAAAACGTATACTATCTTAACTAGATATTAATATTCTTATAACCTTTTATAATTATTAGGTATTTAGTAAGAGTATTTATAACGTTAAGATTAAGAGTTAGTAGAATTAATTATATTAGGCCTAATCTATATAATAAAAGGTAAATACTACCCCCTTTATATACTAATATCTAAATACTAACACTTTATATAGGTATTCTTTTATTAACTATAGTCCTTATACCTTTTTTCCTTAAATTCTTTTTTTAATTAAATTATCTTACTTTTTATTTATATACTACTTCTTTATAAAGACTTTTCTAACTTTATATACCTCTAGAATAACTATTATATTTAAATATAAAAAAATTAGCCTTATAGTGTCTATAGTTAGCCCTAGTTACTTTTTTACTAGCCTAATCTAACTTCTATAATTAATTTTATATAATTAGTTAATCTTTTAAAAGTATAAGAAATTCTTATAGTTCTCTAATAAGATAGTATAGATCTTAATTTACACTTACTTATATAGATAATATAGGTCTATAAAGATATTCTTAGTTCTAAAGAGACTTTTCTACTTATAATAGAATTTTATAGTTTAAAATATCCTTATATTAAGGTATATAACTTCCTATAGCAGCACTTAGAGATTTATATTATCTCTAAAGCGTCTCTAGAAGTTTCTTTATTAGAGAAATAAAGTAGTAAGGTTAAGTAAATAAAAGTATAACTTATTACACTTAGGATTAATTTATAGTAAATCTTTATAGAAAGGCCTAAAAGAGTATAAATAAAATAAAAGTAAATAATATTATTCTAAATTACTTAAAGAAGTATCCTTTAGGCTAACCTATATACTATCTTATATATCCTCTGCTTAATCCTTATTTTTAATAGTATCTTATATACTTACTTTCTAATCCTTACTCCCTTCTGCTTTTACCTTTAAGTAGGTACGCTTCTGTAATTTTACCTATAAGCTTACCTCTAGAGCCTTAAGTGTTAGCTTTTACTTTATTCTAGTTTAAATACTACTTAGAGGCATAAATTATAGCTAGCTAGTATAGGGCTATATAAGTATAGATAGAACCTCTTAGTGTAGTAAAGTAGTAGGCTGTTTTAGTTAGTAGTACTTAAATTATTACTTTTTTAAAACTTAAGGTATAAAGATAAGTAGCTTAATCTATATCTTTAATATAAAAGTAATTATAAAGCTATTTTTTTTACTAAAAAGTAAAGTCTTATAAAGAAACGTCTAGAGATTAAGGGCTTTATATATAGCACTATAGAACTCTAAAATATCTAATAGGTTCTTTATATTAATTAGAATTACCTTCTACTTACGTCTAAGAAAGGCCTTATCTAAAGTAAACTTTATAATAAGGCACTTTATTATATTAGTATATAAAGTAAACTTTATAGTTAATAGGAACTATAACTTCTTATTAAACTTCTTAAGGTATTAGATATAGGTATAAGTATAAAAACTAAGGCTATTAATATCTACTTTATAATATAAGGTAACCTAAAGACTAATATTAATATAGATAGTTAGGTCTTAAATTAGCTAGTTCTTTATCTATTATATACTTACTTTACGCTCTTATAAGCCTTTAATAATTACTATAAGGAAGCTTATAAAAGGTTTTATATCTAAGATATATAGTGTAGACTTAGCTAGGTCTATATTATTTTTAAGTAGTTATAATTAGATAATTATAGAGGGTTTTAGAAGTTTAAAGGTATTTTTATTAATTAAGGTAAGGTTAATTATAAATAGTTCTTAAATAATAGTTAAATTAAGAGAATAAAATAAGTAAAAGTGCTATTTATTAAGTAGCTTTACTATAAAATAGTTAAGGTTATCCTTCTTAAGACACCTTACTACTATTTTATAATAGTATATAATAAATAAGTACAGACCTATACGTAAGTGTGTATAAATCCTATAGGTTTTATTTTAAGTAATCCTATATATAGGGCTTATAATTACTATATAGATAGATTACTATCTATAAAGTAATATTACTACTATCTGCACACTAGTGGTAGCCCTAGTACAGACCTGCACCCTAATTAGGCAAGTTTTGACTTTTGGACCAGTGCGCCCTGCAGGCTGCCGTACCTTCCTTCCCAAGTACTCCGTACACCACCTACCTAGGTAGCTGATTCCACAGCATCGCAGCAAAAAGGAACTTGCCGGGAAGGTGTGGCTGCCCTCTCTGGCCGAATCATGACGTCGGAAGCCAGCGTGCGGCTTGGCAATGTGGAGCAGAAGCTAAGGCGAGCCCAATGACAGCAGGCGTGGGGTAGCGATGGGTTGGGTTGCTTCCTTCCTTGCCTTCCGTCGCTGCTGTTGTTGCCTTTTTGCCTCAGGAAGGATAGGGATCACCTTACCTTGGTTAGGTACGTACCTCGCAGTACGGACATTGTCCAGGAAGGAAGGGTTGCTTACTTGCTTACTACCTATGTAGGCAGGCTTGTTTTGTTTTTTCACATTGATTACGTACACAAACAAATCCCCGTGTTATTCCGTCCTTCTCGACCGATGACCACCGATGAAGAAAACCAAAAGACGAGAGACAATGGACTCGGTGGATGAGCTAGGTACTCTACCGGTAGGTACTCTTATCTTGGCATATACTCTTGGCATGTGCTCTTGGCGGGCTCAATGAAGCGAGCAGGTCGAGAGTCCCCATATTAAATGGTGCCTCGGTCGCCCGTCATTGGACATTTGCGTCCACCACCAAGTCTTTTAGCGTAAACTGCGGAGTCATCGGTTTGAATACCTACCTACAGATATGCCTCCCATGCTCTCTGTTCTTGAGCCGACCTATGCTGTACTGTTCATTCACCGTCTCGTTTTGGTGTCTCTTTTGGGCTGTGGCCTGCCTCGTTAGTGACGGGCCATACACGGTCACATATCACACACACCCCATATCAGGTTTTCTCGGCGTAACTTTGCTCTCCGGATACTTTAAACAAAAGATGGAGAGAAGGGGAACTCTCATGTTATGTACGGATACTTGGTGTCCTCTCGGCCCTTTGGTGTTATCTGTCTACTCCGTACGGATAGTGTACCGAGTATTCGTACAGTCTACCGAGTATTGCCTGTCTGCTGTCATGTCCAGATTTAATTTTGTTTAAGCTACTCCGTAGGCTTGCATCGAATCATCCATCCGTACGGTAGAATCTCTTCCCGCCAACCTGGTCTGCTCGTCCCAAGGGTCGAAACTCAATCCCTCATCCATCCATCCATCGTCCATCAACCCAACATTTCTTCTCTCTCTCGGAGCAGCAGAATTAACAACCACGGGAACAGCCTGGACCATCCAAAGGCTCATCCCGAAAGGCAACCGAACCCGCAGGTGCCAACTTTTCTTTACAAGCTTCCCCCCAGTCCGCCAACCTGACAGCCAATCTCCCACCACCACCACCACCACCACCACAACCACCACCACAACCACAACCACAACCATAACCTCCGCTATCAGCATTGACCTTTTGCGGCCCCCAAAAAGAACAGTTGCTGTCGCACCCAAGCGCGGAACACAAGCCGAAAAAAAAGCCAGGGAGAGTGGGAAAGGGGGAAAAAAAAAAGAGACACAAAAACACCCGTTTGCTTGACTTGGCGCCCTACCGACTTCCAACCCTGTGTGACGTCGATTGGACAAGGAGAAACATCGACCCGATCATTTCCCCGTTACGCTCCCTGCTTGTCATCTCGTCTTCCTCAACCTCCAAACTCTCGCCCCCCCCAAACCGCGCGACCAACACATACGACCACATCACCAACCACCTGTGCGCCGCCCCCGAGTTCAAAATCGACACCGAAACCGACACCCGCATCGAAGTAGGCAATACACACAGACACACACACACACACACACACACACACCCGACACTGCTCTCGAGACGTGTGTTATACATCGCACCGCCCATCTCACCACTGCACTCGTGCCCTTCGTCACGACGGCTCAGCTTCACGGCACCCCAAATTCACCCCCGGTTCCCTCCACTCCATCACGACGACGTCAACACGATCTCGCGAGCCCTCTCCCTCGAGAGACACCCCCGTGCCCCCCGACCCCGCCGAATCAAACTCGATACCGCTTACCCATCTCCCTCCCGCTGGCCCCCATACGCCGCCACCGCAACGGCCCGACAGCCCTTCATCTCCCCGCGAGGCCCCGGGCCACCCGGCGAGCTCTCCCGACCCCGAACCCAACGGGTCCCGGCCCCCCACCTCGTCGTCGCCCATGGCTTTCTTGACCAACAACATCTGGCCCAAAGATGGCAGGAACAGATCGCATATCCCCGCCATGCCTGTGTGGATCGCAGGCGTCAGAATTCTCCAGCTTGTAAGGACACCGCCGCCTCCTCCCTCCCTAATTCCCGACTTCTCAAAACCTCCCCTCCCCCTTTCCCCCCACCTCGTAACGTAACGTATCGTCACCAACGTGCCGAGGAAGGACAGGCTTGTTGAGATACTACGCTTTGCTGCGAGGGAACACCACGTTGACCATCTATCTCTCAATCACTAGGTTCTCGCCATTGCCACGTTGGGAATCACCGTCTATGGCCTCACCACCATGCAAAAGGCGACGGGATATCGCAGGATAACCGTATGTCCCATCACCCCTTGCCCGCCGACCCGCGGGGCCTTTTGTTTGCTTCCAGTCCGTCTTCTGTTGCTGACCACTCCTTCGTTGCTTGATACAGTCGTTTAGTGGTACAGAGGGTTTCCGTATGTCACACCACCAGTTCCGCCCCCCCCCTCCTTCCATGTCTCCATTACTGACGCTGCCCGTAAGCCTTTTCGTGGTTTGCGTTCGCCTGGACCTTCTCTTACCTGACATGGCTGGGCGTCGCCGTCGTCTTCATCCCCGTCATGTACAACTGTTGGGTGCATCTGTAGGTCGCATCCCTTGCCTACCTACACTGGCCGTTTCCCCGCTAACCAACCTTGCTTGCGTAGCGGCCTCGAGTTGCTCACCGTCGTGTTTTGGTTGATTACCATGGCCCTCCTGGCCAGCCATGCCGACGATCTCGACTCCCTCGACGCATTCGTTGTGACGCTGGGCCCAAAGTACGAGGTCTACTACAAAATGAACGTGGAGCCCTTTGCCGACGGCTTTGTGGCCGCCACCTTTGCCGGCACTGCCACGTCCGTCGTCAATCTCGTGCTCTTCGTCATCACCATCAGCCTATTCGGTGCGTAACCTTGCGGGGGGTGCCTCTCTCTCGCTTGCTCGGCTTGGCGAGCACGCGTGTCTCGAAAGCCTTTCCTCTTCACCTTGACTAACCAGCACAGGCCGCGCCCTTCACGCCATGCGCATGGCAAACCTCGAAAAGGCACTCAGCACGACCGACTCGCAAAAGACGATACCGGCCGAGGGAGACAAGATGGTCGCCTCGCCGCACATGACCTCGGCCGTTCCCACCTATATCCATTGGAACAGCCAATATCCTCCGCCCCATCACGGCCAGACCTTTCACTTCTATGGCCAGCCGTACCCGCAGTCGCCACACTCGCAGACCAACACCTCGCCGCCGACGTCCGTTCCTCCCCACGGGTTCCAGCCGGCCTACTTCCCCAGTAGCCAATGGCCGCCCCAGCCGCCCCCTCAACAACAGCCCCCTCCCGAAGGCGGTGTGTGGCCGGCTCAGAATTACGCCATGTACCAACAACAGGTCCCCATTGCGCCGCAGCACACCGGCCAGTCTGGCAGCGACATGGGCTCGCCACAGTTCCCCATGGTGAACCCCGTGGCACCTACAAAGTCGGACCTCCCCGGTGTCTATTCGACACCCCCTCCAGGGGCCGCATATTCAGGACGCCCTCCACCACAAGCGACTGCGCACGGCACAGAACAGTCACCGGCTGAGCTCAACGATGGACGCGGCGACGAGAACATGCCAGCAGAGCTGCCAAACAACCCCCCTCGGTCACCCCGGTGACAGCATTTACACCATATGAATACGAAAAGACGGCCGGCGAGTTCCGCCTCAGGATGACATGTAGTGGCATACGGTAATGATGAATTTCAGGGACGATTCTACGGCGTTTGGCTTGAGGGAACATGCATAGAAAACGGCGTTTCTTCTTCTTTTCTTCTTATTTTCCGGGGGTTCGGCGCAGCCCCGCTCACGTCGCTCGGATAGCACGGCTGGGATTGGATCAACATTTATCCTCTTTTTTTCCTTTTCTTTTTCCTTTTCCCCCCCCTGCTCCATCAGGGGACACACCGTACCTATTCATGATGAACAGGATGGGGAGGACCGTGGCACGAAGACGAACCAGAGACGGCTCCGTTCGTGCGCATGGTTTCTGCCTTGGTTGTACTTCTAGTTAGATGGCCGTCTCCTTTGAGGGACGCGTGATTCATGTTGCTTAATATCATGATACCCCGACGTACAAGCCGATCGGGAAAAGTCCACCTTTCAAGCCTTCTTCTCTCGTGTCATATCCGCTCGCTCGCTTCTCCTGCTACCGTGCTTGTAAATGAGCGTTGCCCAGGAGCCCCTCGTCGTCCTCCATCACAGCACTCCCTCGATTGGGCTGAGATTAAATTACGACAACTAGAGAGAAAAAAAAGGAGATATAATATAAAACTTTTAGCCGAGCCAAGGCTTGGTGGTATCTTGTGTGAAACAAGGGCGGCTCGGTCAGTACACGTAGCGAAAGTAGGGGTTCTCCTTGTCCGTGAGGTCCTGGAAGGCCAGCTTGGCGCGCTCCTCCTCGTCGACGGGCAGCGCGTCGCGGCGGCGGTTCTCGGCTCGGAGGAGGCGGTACAGGGCGGCGGCGGCGAGGACGCAGATGACGTAGCAGACGATGAGGCCGGTCCACAGCTCCGGGTAGTGGCGGGCTCTGCTCTGGGAGCGGACGAGCTGGGGGCCGACGATGTTGCCGACGCAGTAGGCGACGAAGACGGTGGCGGCGACGAAGCTCTTCTTGGTGTGGCCGGCGACGTTGGACATGCCGAGGGAGATGACGAGGCTGACGACGCCGCCGAAGAAGCCGGTGAGGGAGTAGCCGACGACGGGGGCGGCGGCGCGGCGCGACCAGTCGGCGCGCCAGACGAGGGCGCAGCCGGCGATGACGGGCAGGCAGCAGGCGACGAGCATGACGACGCGGGCGTTGGGGAGGCGCGAGCCGAGGTAGCCCGTCAGCAGGATCACGGCGAAGCAGACGGCGCCGAGGGGGAACTGCAGCAGGATGGCCTGGAGCGGGGACCAGCCAAAGGTGGAGACGATGAGGGGGCCGAAGCCCGAGACGGCGCCGTTCATGGTGTAGGCCGAGGCCATCATCAGGGCGACGAGCCAGACCTTTGCGTCGGCGACGGCCTCGCGGAGCTGGTGCGGCTTGAACTTTGCGCAGCGGACGCCGGTCTGGCCGCGGCGCAGGCGCTCGACGGCGGCGAAGCGCTCCTCGGGCGTGAGGAACCAGGCCGAGACGGGGGAGGCCGGGAGGAAGAAGCAGGCGACGCCGAAGAGGAAGGTGAGGCAGCCGGCCAAGATGTAGATGGACTGCCAAGGGCGGAGACGGCCGCCGTTGCCGCGCGCCGAGGAGGAGGGCACCTGGGCGAAGGCGTAGTTGAGGCCGCCGCCGATGATGGTGAAGAGGCCGGTGGCGGAGAACCACCAGCTCTGGCGGAGGGACTGCTCGGCCTGGGTGTAGTACCCGGCGACGACGCACATGAAGCCGGTGGGGACGGCGCTCTCGACGAAGCCGAGGGCGAAGCGCTGGGCGTAGAGGCCGCGGTGGTCGGACACGGCAGCCGTGGACGCGCAGGCGGCGGCCCAGGCGAGGACGACGGCGCCGAGGGTGCGGCCGGGCGGGAAGCGCTGCAGGGCGTAGGTCATTGGGTACAGGCCGGCGAGCATGCCGAAGTAGAAGAGCGAGGTGGCCCAGGAGAGGCGCGAGGTGTCGACGCCGCCGCCGGGGACGGGCACGGAGAGGCGCAGGTCGGCGGTCATGCCGAAGAGGACGGCGGAGCCGAGGATGGCCTTGTCGTAGTAGACGAGGCCGTAGCCGAAGACCATGGCGGGGACGAGGAACCGGTCGATCTGGCGGACGGCGCGGGCGGCCACGGCCGGGTCGTAGGGCTGCGCGTGCGCGCCGACCATGGCGAGGGCGTCGTCGTCGTCGTCGCCGTTCTTGCCGGGGCCGGACGTGGATGTGGCTGTGGCCTCGACGTCGGGGTCGGGTCCGGATGTGGGAGGCGGGCCCGGCGCCGGGTCCCCGGGGGTGGCGACGAGGTCCTTTTCGGGGGCCATTTGCGCCGTGTGTGTGTCAGAGGGGGGGGGGGGGAGAGTGTGTGTGTGTGCGAGTGTGTACGTATACGTGGAGGGGCGGGATGCGTACTTTTCTTTCGGCTCCCGGTTTCTTATTTTCTTTGGTCTCCTCTTTTTTCCTGTCCTGGTATTGGATGTGTGTGTTTGTGTGTTTGTGGGTGTGTGTGTGGGTGTGTGTCTGAGGGCTTTTCCCTTTCTTCTTCTGGGCTTGACATTACACAAAGGCGACAAACTCAAAAGACAGGGGGGGGGGGATGAGTGAGTTGAACTTTTTCTTCCTTACTCTCTCTCTCTCTCTCTTTCTCGTCCGTCGTCGCTGTGACAGTCTTATTGGTGGTGGGCCGGGTTGCGTCTCCGTTTTGTTGAGGGAAAACTCAAAACCCAAAATTCCCGCTCCTGGATGAGAGAGAGAGAGAGGAGATGGGCGTGCTGGGTGGTAGGGGGGCAACAGAGTTTGAAGGGGGGGCGGGATTTCCATGAGCGAATGAATCATCTCTCGGCCATATGCTCGTCAATGAGACGGGGGGAGAGACTCTGTCACCTGTCTATTCCCAGTTGCGCCGCGTCAATTGCCCAGGTACGTAAAGTAAAGTGACTGGTTGTCCGGCGGGTTTAAGCTCTTTCAACTCAGTCCACCTCCACGTTGCAACGCTACTCGCGGGGCTTTGCCGTCGTGATGATGCTTGGAGGGCGTCCCGGGAGGAAGGGTAAGGTCGGCGAGCCGAAAAGCATGCCGTCGGCCGTCCATCCCTGGGAGGGTTCCGCGGCCAAGAATGGATTACATCACAAAGCGGTATGGCAAACTTGCAGCTCGACGGCACCGAGGCAGTTGAGGGCATCGACTGGGGGTGGAGATGAGGGGGCTGAATGAGTCGTCCGAGTTGCGGGGGGGGGGCCGATTCGGTCGCCGGAACAACTCGGGATGTACGGAGAAAAGGTGGAATCATACATGAGGTGAGGTGAGCGGCGGCGAGCCAAGCATGTTAGCTGACGGACCGACGCTGACTGTTTGACCATAATAGTACAAGAGGTCGTCTTGTTTTCTTTTTTTGTGGCTGAGCTTGGCTTCAGCAGGCGAGTGTGATGCCGTCTGCCAACAAAGTTAGTGGGCGAGAGAGAAGCAAGGCAAGTTTGTCTGAATCGTGTGTGAGAGCCATTGGACGGGAGGGGAGGGGGCGAGGATTCGGCAACCCATCCGACGCGGCAGATAAGACGATGCTGAGTGAGACGCTGTTCATGTTCAGCCGATTGCGCATTCGGATGGAAGCACGGGAGACGGTGTAGGTATCAAAATCATGTGATGGATTCCCTTCCTCTATTACAAGAGCGTTTTGTATAAGAGATGACGGATCACAGGCAAACAAAGAAGCACACGGGTGTGGAGGGCCAACAGATGGTAAAAAAGAAGACTGGTTCCAGGGGCACCAATTTGCCCGTCATCTGTAGGAATGTAGGAAATACCCCGACATATACTGAGAGTTTTGAGCCGGCCACCGTTAAGCACGACAGAATACGGATACGCCTCCATTCAATACTCTCGGAAGATGATGTAAGTGCTGCATGCACTTCGCCATGAGGGATGAACAGCAGCATCGGAGGCGGCGTTGCCAAGGACACACACAAACACACAAGCCCCTTTCGCCACTGGAATTCTTATAGAAAACGCAATGGATACTATTTAGAGACTCTTCGATAGGATGATGCCTGGACCACATGCGTCAAGTAATCGTATGATATGAATGAAGGTCACACACAGTTAGTCCCTCAATTCATAGCCCATACACAATCTTCCGCAAGACAGAACAGGAGCCTGACATAATCGCCCATCTACGTTTGCCCCGAACGGCAGTCCAAAGCTCTTTCAAAACATGGACCGACCTCGCCCGCGGACCGCGTCCTGCCTCGACACAACCTCGCGACATCAGCGAGACACCACACCATCTTCCCATGCCCCCCCTCCATCAGAACCTTGTTTGGAGAAACACTGGGTCGTGGGCCCAGGCTCCGGGGTTCGTGGAGCATGGGCCAGTCTTGGCTCTCTACACTACGTAGTAGGGAGGGCCCCGTCCTACGCCGCTCGCTATCCCGCCGTCTTGAGTGGTGGACAGGACAACCGACTGCTGGTGAGGCTATCACGAGGGTTATACGGCGAGACCTGTTTTGATCAGGACATGTAGAGTCTGGTAGAGAGACGATGAATGACTCTGGCATCTGCGTCGGATGTGAACCCGGTCATGAGCAAAGCAAAGAAAATCATGTGCGTATTATTAGTCGCAAAAAAGGCCCACCGTCTCGGTATCTTCCTTTCCTCCCCCCGGGTATCCCAGGCCCTTTTCTCGTGCCTCGTCTTGCCCGTCAGAACCTCAGTTATCGTCCGCATCAAGTACACGATCCTGACTTCTGCCGATATTAACACCAGCCTCTCTCTCCTCCGGTTCTTCTTCCCCCTCGCAAAAGAAAAAAAAAAGGGGGGGGCTGTGATTAAACACTAGGGCTCACTGGAGCTTGGCCGACTCTCTTCCGGCCCTGGTCTCTTTCCACCACTTCTGCTCTCGCTTGATTGCGTATTCGATCCAAAACCTCGCGGCCACGCCCCAGATTATGATCCACCCAAACAGCACACCCAGCGTCGAGCCAAAGGCGCGCTCGAACTCGAGGTTCCAGATCATGGCGGCCACGTAGCCGATGTAGCAGGTGCACCCGCCGATCCAGAACAGCGTCAGCTCGAGGATCATCTTGCGGAACATCATCGACTTCTCGTACCGCGCCACGTACTTGCGCCGGAACTCGCGGTTCTGCGCGCCGTCGACGGCGAAGAAGTCCTCGGCCGCGTAGTAGACGATGGGCTTGAGCCGCGAGCCCTTGGGGTCCGAGTTGATGCGGAACGGGATGCGGATCGGGATCAGCGTCATGAAGGCGATGACGTCCAGCACCATGAACATGAAGGCCGGCGAGTACAGGTACAGCCACGTCACCACGTCGGGCTCGTACACGGTCGTCGAGCACACGAACGGCACCAGCGCGGCGATGAGGCCGAGCGTGTACACCCACGTCGTGGCGTCCAGCTCCCACCAGTGCTTGGACAGCAGCGGCGCGCACTCGTCGAAGCGCGCGATGAGCCGGTACACGCGCACCACGAGGATGTACACCTCGCCGAAGCCGAAGGCGATGATGGCGAAGCCGAGGATCCTGCTCTCGATCGTCTGCACGGGCGGCAGCCCGCACTCGACGCCGGCGTCGTACGCGCCCTGGCAGGCCTCGCGGCGCTCGTTGCGCCGCGCCCGCAGCCAGCTGTAGTAGATGCACACGGGCAGCGCGAGGTCGAAGAAGAGGATGACGAAGGGGCCGATGGAGATGGAGATGTGCTCGGTCCAGTCCACGTACTTGGTCAGCGGCTCCAGCTCGTCGCCGTCGTCGTCGTCGTCGTCCTCGCCGATGCCCGCGAGGACCCCGGGCGGCGCCGACGGGTCCGCCGACGTCGTCTTGGGCGCCCCGTCCCGCCCGAGCATCAGCGCCGTGCTCTCGCTGACCGCCGTGATGGTCGAGTCGCGGAACGTCTCGCGGTTGTCGTCGCCCGGCGCCCGCTCCCTGGAGACAGCCGCCACCGAGGCCGCGCCGGCGCGTCGCCACCGGGCTCCCGCGCGACTCGCCGGTCGTGACCGCGGCCTCCTGTTCTTGCGACGCTCTCCTGCTGCTGCCGCCGCCGCCTGTTTGCGACGGCGCCCTGCTTCCCGGCTGCGATCCCGCCGCTGCCGCCGCTGTGACGGCGGGCCGGCTCCCTTCCTCGCCCTCTACCGACGGTCTCCTGCTGGGCTCCTTCTGCGAGGCGGGTCTGCTGCCGGCATCCTCGCTCGGCGCCCTGTCTTCCGAGGGGTGACTCTTGGCCGAGTTGGAGATGCTCTGTTCTTGCGGTTCTTGCGGGGCGTCCTCGAAGCTCGCCCTCGACGATGTGATCTGCTCGCCGTCGAGGTCGTGGTCGTTGGAGTTGTCGGCGGCCGACGGAGCGGCTGGCTCGTTGCTTCCCGACTGCATCGGTGCGATGCTTGCGATTCTAGATTCCGACGATTACGGATGATGAGGGGGGGATGAGCATGAGAAAAGAAGCAGCAGCAGCAGAAGGAGAAGGAGAAGAAGAAGAAGAAGAAGAAGAAGAAGAAGAAGAAGAAGTAGAATAACAATAATAAGAAAAATAATAAAAAGAACAAGTAAAAAGGAGCTGAGAGAACGACGGCTCCTCTCTGCACGCGCGCCAGACAAACAGCAACGGACGAAAGATGTTCTCGTAAGGGGGGGGGTGCGCTTCTGGAATGGGTGTGATGACAGAACCAGAGCTCACTTTTTTGCATCCCCTTTCCACCACACAGAAAAGGAGCGGCCGACTACTTCATATGGAAAGGCGTCTCTCACTGGACAGGTGAGTGACGAGAGTGAGAGAGTGAGAGAGTGAGTGAGAGAGAGAGATAGAGAGAGAGGTGGGCGCGGATCCCCCAAGCGCACGTCCACCCACCGTCGCAACACGAATCATGAGGGGCAGCATGAATTGCATCGTGACTTCAGACGGATGCCTGACCGGCCGGTCCCTGGTTTCGAAAACGTGCCCAGATGGTATCTGAGCCATGATCCCCCTAGCATGTCCCTCCTGGGAGGCCCCGAGCAGCAGGAGAACCAGCAGTGGACCAGGGAGAGAGAAACCTTGGGATACTTCTGGACGGCGTCACGCAGCGCGTGATTAGCACAGGTCGAAGAGCGGTCATCTCTCTCTCTCTCTCTCTCTTCCCTATCCAGCAAGCTTTACTCGGCATGAACCTAGAGGTTCACCTCAACCGCTGTCACCAATGCTCCAGATCATCCCTCCTCCCCACTTTGCCCACATTTGCCTCTTTCTCTCCCTCTTTGGCGCGATATGGGAACGGTCAGAGGGTAAGAGGATGAGAGCAGGAAGAGAGAATGCGTCTCGTTCCTGTACCCGCCCCCTTCTCATCAGACACCTGGGCCAAGACCTCTCAGTTCCGAGAGACAGAAACGTTGTTCTTCCGGCAGTTAACAATAGCTCCCCCCTCTTACCCCCTGGGGGGGGGGGAGGGTTACATACTGTGTACGAACTTTCGGGGATTTTTACCACTCCACGATCGGCGGCGGACTCCGTCGCGGCACAGCGATTAGCTCCCGGCACCAGGGGCCAACCCTGGCTTCGCCCCCCGTCTCCCTATCTCCCTCTCTCTTTACTCTTGCTGCCGTGGTCCGGACCCCGGGCGAGGGCAATGCCGCATATGCCCAGTGAGCCGTCTAGATACAGATAAGCCTTCAGAGGGAACGCGTTGCTGGATTCCGAGCAAGTCAAAGCCGACCAGCCCACGCGAGCTTTCACGTTCTTGACTCGGGCCCAGAACCGTTGATGCTCGGTCGCGTTCGGTTCTAGCGTCAAACGCTAGTGCGGACCCGATTCCGGATATCAGAGCACTCGGGAAGAGCATAGCAGAGCATGGCAGAGCATGGCAGAGCATGGCAGAGCATGGCAGGGCACGGCGGAGCACGGCAGAGCGTGGCATATGGCATGGCAGGGCATGGCAAGGGCACGGCAGTACCGACAGCTGAGCGCGCATGCACGCCGTGTTCAACCGATCAGGGCATATAGGGCCGAAAGGGGGGAGGGACCAATCCATCAAAGGGAGGGGGGAAAGCTCTGGTCAATGGAGCACAAGTTGCATACGGGCCAGAGCTGGGGGGGGGGGAAGCCACTTACCTACTTGTCAAGCAGCCAAAGAGCTCTCTGGGATGAGGCTTCTTCCAAGTCATGCTGCTGCTGGCTGGCTGGCTGCGACCATGCGGGCGAGGCGTGCGGGACATCAAAGCGCATAGCTTTCCTTCGCCCTTCCCGCACATATGGATTCGCCCTTCTCCGTATCCCAATTGCGCATTTCCCCTCCCCGTTTTGCGAGACTCTCCCATGTTTCTGTTCTCTCTTCAATGCAGGTATGCCTTGACTCCCGCCAAGGTTCTGCCCTGTGCCTCGTCCAACGCCGGGCCCCTCTTGTTGCCGTGGTTGCGGTCTGACGATCCAGACTATATCTTCTTCCCCTATAATGGCGCTAGTCTACGAACGCGTTGTATACGCACGCAGTATGACACTGTGTATGAGGTAGTACATCATACTATTGTATATGAGCTGCCGCTATTGCTGCTCGTCATGGCATCCCTGAACCCGGTCATCTAGTTGAGACCCTTCCCTCCCGCCGGGTTGTTGCCCACAACTCAGTGTCCCCTTTTCTCATGTTCCAGCCGAGGTTGAGAGTCGAGACTAACGCGGCGGAGGTTGATTACTATAGAACATACGTTTCGGCCCTATCTTTTGGGCGTGTCAAACAATGGCCGAGTCATACACTTGTAGAAACCGTAATTGCTGAATGACGGAATTGCTATATTGCTCATCGACTATGAGCCATCCTCCCCCCCCCTCCCCCTCGATTCCATCTTTGTTTGGCCTACGCAACACCACGTAGAATAAATGACAGCCAGCCTCTATCTCGACACAGCCCCCCCTTCTTCCCCGTTTTCCCGCTCAACCCGAACCGGGGACAGGTATCTCTATGACACAAGAGAGAGCAGCATGACTCTCCCTCCTACAAGTATCACCCAGATGCAACCCCCCCCCCCCCCCCTTTCCCCAAGTCTATGGGAAAACCGGGCATCATCGCCCAAGGCCAACCTGGTGGCGGCCTGACCCAGGACACGTCGGTCAAACCGTCGATGGGTTTCCTCGCGGACCCCGGCAGCTCCACCCAAGGGCCGCCCTCGGACTGTCTTGCTGCTCAGGCTTTCCAGGGATTCTGCCCAAGTGCCTCACGAGACCAGCGCCGCCGACTCGTGTTTGACAGCTCCAGCGAACGCTTGTAATGGACAAAGCCTCCCCGACTAAAGCGGCCCATCTCCCTTCCTCGCTCGGCGGGGACACTACTGCACATCCCGCTGTCGTTGTCCCGGCCGCCCGCGCCTAATCGTTTCTGTCAGGCGTTCACTAGTGTAGACCGGACCCCTTCGAGTCAGCACCCTGAAGGCCATCGATGCCGCCTTGCAAAAGATCAGTGTCCCCACGTCGTCACGTACAGCCGCGAATGCAAGCGGCCTGCCGGCTTGCGACGACGTTTGTCGCATTTCACAGCATCTCAACGGCTTCAGGCGGCCCCGCCGCGCTCGGTCGGCCGATGGCGCAGCCAATACTACGCTTGACCTCCCGGATCTCCATCTGAATGGCCCTCCTCTCGCTCGCAGGTCCCATCTAGAGGGATTTCCAAGCTTGTTCCACGGCCGTTCCACGGCATCATCGGAGCGTGAGTTCATCGAAAGAGAGGGCAGGGAGAGTGAGGAAGAGAGTAAGAGAGAGAGAGAGAGCATTGACCGAACCCTTCCTCCATTCCTCGCGAAGTTTCTAGACGCACGATAGAAGGAATGCCAAACCGCGATGGGCTGTGTCACGCTCGTGGACGCGGGACCATGCGAGTCTTTTTTTATTCTTCTTCTTATTTTTATTCGTTTCTTCTCATTGGAAACAAGAAAAAACCTGCATGACCCCCCCTCCCCCTGTCAGAGCACCGTCGCGCTGGGTCCCGTCACTGCATCGTCAAGGCTGAATGAGGTCGCAGCCCCCGCGGCCTTGTCTGATGCAGGTTGGGCGTTTGGGAACGGACGCTTCAGATCGGCAACCTCGCCGGACCTGCGCTAGCATTCGGACATTTGGAAGATGAGGCGGTCTAGTGCCGCCGTATGGAGCGAATGGAGCTCATTCCAGTTACGCCGCATGTTCGCTTTCTTGCATGAAGAAGGGGGTGCATGCGGCCTTCCGCACGCACGCCACGTGCTGGCCTCGGCCCCATCGCGTGGGAACGGCCCGAGGGGTGCTTGTCTCGACATGTTGTCATCTCGATGTTATGCGTCGTCTGTGGGCAGATGGACGAGGAGGGCACTGCGGCTGCGGGTCGTGTCACGACAGAGAGGCATGTGAGCTTTTGTTTACACGTCAGCGCCCGTCTCGAGTCGTGTTCACTTCCTTTGGACCTTTTTCCAACTATGGACGTATGTACGAGACTCTCAAACTAGAAAGGGCTCGTAGTCACGTGTCACATGTTCAAAAAATGGCAATATGGCTTGGTTACGGGCTCATCTATCGATGGAGCTGTCTCACAGCCATCTTCGTCCATCGGGCTGGCTGTCAAGGGCTATACACGTGCGTGTCCTGACTAGTTCCTCGGGCCATTGGCATAAGCATGGTCGGTGCCTTCAGAGGCCTCATGTGTGACTTCTCATGCTGCTACTATCACAGCATCGTTTGCCGATATGTGCGTTGTCGCGTTGCATCCTGGCGACGCGTCATACACCCTGTCATCGTCATTGTTCGGAGTGGTGTCCAAATGGATGGAACACGACCGCCGGCGTGATCGTGCCGTTGACCAGGGCCGCCAGCGTCTCGGCAAGCTTGATCCAGTTCTGCGAGCGGTACGGGCGGTACAGGGAGCCGAACACCGCCCGGACAAGATCCTTTCGCGAAAAGACCTCGGGAAACAGTATACCCTCCTCCGATACCACGACGGGGTTGGTCTCGAGGTCGTTGAGGACGTCGTGGATCGCCTGCTGCATAAAGCCGGGGCCCCTTTCGTCGTACAGAGCGCACTTCTCCGGCCCGGCGTCGTGGCAGAGGTTGAAGAACCCGCGCCACGCCTTGTCTGTGTCGACGAGGAAGCCGTGGAACTCCCCTGACGCGTTGTCGACCCAGTCGCCGCATCCATCGACAATCATGCGCCCGACGCGGTCGGGGTAGAGACTTGCAAAGGTCCCGCCGAGGAAGGCCCCCGTAGCTGAAACCCTAGTAGCAGAGATTTAGACGAGATCAAGCTTGTTGGAGTGGCTGCCTCTCTTACCCAATACTGCAGCAGCTCATTTCCCGGTTCATAACGTATCCTCTGCGGGATGACAGCGGTGCCGTGTGGACCTTGTTCACGCGCCAGCGCCTCGTTTGCCCTCTTCTCCCTCTCCCTGCCACTCCGTTCGACCATGGCCAGCAAGTCGCGCGCAACGAACGGCGTCGTGACGGTGCTCAGGGCCAACGCCTTGGAGGTTGAGTTTCCAGGGTCGCACACCTTTCTGAGCGAGAGGGTCCTCGCCCACAGCTGGTCGAACAGGCCGTCCGAGACGTCGATGCCGTCGTACACGGATCCGAGCTGATGCCACAATTGACGGGCCATCGGGTCCTCGAAGCACGAGATCCGCGGGGTCGACAAGCCGACACCTCGTGGGTCGAGGGAGACGAAGTCGAATACCTTGCCATCGGGCTCGTTGCCATTGATGGCCGATGAGAGATTGGCATTCCAGCCTCCCGACAAGAAGCTTATCCCCTGTACTCCTGGTCCACCTTCACCAACGTGAGCACAATGTTTTCCGCAACTACGTGTGGGTGGCGCATACCCGGATTGAGGTAGACTTCACCGCCGTAACGAGGGTCAAGGATCGAGATGTTGGCGGGCTGTCTGATTATGGCGATTGCGACCTCGTGGTCAAGCCAGTGTTCCTCGGGGGCTGTCCAGTCCATGGGAAGAAGCAGCCTCGCGCATTGGAACTTGTCGAGGCATGGTACATAGACCAGGTCTCTCGACGGGGGGAGCGCGTCCCAATCAAAGTCCAGAGCGCTGTTGTTGCTCGGAACGGCGATCGCTGCGAACTGGCTCTGGTGCGAGGGTACTACTAGCCTTGGAACTAGACCGCGCAGCAAAGCGTCTCTGCCTAGAAGAAGGATGCCACTGAGGCCTAAGAAGGCCGTGGCCCATGTCTTCTTCCTCGTCCAAGACCTCTTGCAATGATACGCGGTCGCGTTGGATAAGGCCTTTTCGTCCATGGCGGGCTTGCGTTGAAACCAAAACACCACGAGAGTGAAGAGTTGTCGAAGTCTTAAGACAACCGAGTTGACAAAAGGCCCAGCTTGCTCGACCGGTCTGACACGGAACTAATACGTGAAATTGAACCGATGAAAAGACGCGTCAAAGGATTATCATAGCATGACGCGGGTTGCTTACGTCTCACCGTTACCTGCATGGGTCCGGATTCTTGTTGGTACAGCTTGGTTTAACGAGCTTATCTCGTTGAATCAGAGTGTGGATACCAACTGGGCAAAATACCGTCCGTCTTATTCCTCTTCGTCAGACAACGAACGCGCCAGGAGCCCAGTGCTACTATCAAAGATTGTCCTCGCATCAGGCCGTGCCTAGCTGGGATGGCCATCGTCTTCGCAGCTGGAATCAATCTGGCATATAGTGCCATCAGTCAGTCCTTCGACAATGTGAAACCAGTGCCTCGCAGGCCCTGTTTAGTTGCCATGGAATGCAACAGCTGTCATTCTCCTTGCAGGAGAAAAGCTGCTGTATTGCCAATCTGGGGTCTCAACACTGTTTGGCTTCAAAGACGGCGAGTCTGATGTTGCTACTTATAGAGTTGGTGCAGACGATTTAGAGAGGTCTAATCAAATGAGGTTGAAATGCCAACGGACTGAGTGCGAAATTTCTTCACCAAAGCTTGTAAAGCTCAACTTCTGGTGATACATTTACTCGTCCCACGAAGGCCAAGACCTATTTATAGTCACTTCATCATCTTCAAATAAGCGCTGAACATACGGAACACTTGAATATAAGGCAGCGAGAGTCTGTTATAACTATCCAACAACTAGGCTTTGCGCAGATAATGTTGATATAGTCTTAGCAGGAAGTCATCACAGCATGAACTTTTGAACCAGGCATCGGCTTCTACGCCGCATCGGCTCAGGTTCCAAGTGCAAACACAAACACAAGCAGCATCAAGATGGCTCATTGATTCTAGCCAAAGTGAGGAGCAGCATGAGCGAAGAGAATTCGGGGGCATGATTGGGAAGTGACAACTGAAAGTATCATCACTGGAGGGACTTGCATCAGGCATCAGAGTACAAGAGCAAAAGATTGACCTGGTAAAAGAATTCCCATAGGTGAATATTGAGACTCGACTCGGCACATGCATTATTTTAGGTCACACATCGAGTTTTTCATATAATTGTAGGTTTTCCGAACAGACGGATAGCGCACAAGATCTTGAGCTGATATGAATAGACGGCATTGTACTAACAAGGGTAGTTTCAAGTTTCGAATATGTAAAAATGAATGTACAGAAGTTCCAAATGTTTCCGAGAAGAAGTACTGGATCGATGGCATTGGCTCGACTCTGTTACTCTGAATGCTCAGTGTTGTTTGTATTCACAGCCACCGACTTGGAAGAAATACATGGTGCTTGTGTGGCGCTCTAAGTACACTGAGAGTACCATTGGTTTTGGGCCGAGCAGGTCGAGCCAGACACGCAGCAAGTAGCTCCGGTCCATCCGGAACCGCCACACTGGCCCCATTTAGCGGCACACTGTGGAATGGATGGTTAGCAGGGACAGATACACGCCTTCTTTTGGACAGGGTTGACTTACGCTGCCGCCGCTGCCGCCGCCGCCGCCGCCGCTGGGCGGAGTGCTGGGAGGAGTGGTAGGAGGGGTGTTGGGAGGCGGGCTGCTTCCAGAGGAACCGACGGTGATGGTGGCAGAGCCACTGCTGAAGTAACCTTCGGTGGCGACGATCTGGTAGTCGTGCGTGCCCAGGTTCAGGCCGACCTGCGCCCAGGCGTTGAAGTGCGTGGCCGTGTTGACGGAACCTCCCACACGCTTGTTCTGGCGAACAGACCAGTACTGCTGAAAGGTCCGGGTGCCATCGATGGACGGAGCGTTGGTGCGAGTGCTGACATAGATGTCGTAGGTGCTACCGTCACTGACGACGGATCCCTTCTTGGTTGCTCCGCTGGACGGGTTGTAGGTTCCGAAGTTCTCGACAATGTAGTACTAGACAGTCTCGTCAGAGCCGGGAAATCTTCATCAGAGTCCCGCGGTCACTTACCTCGATCAGCGGGCTTCTGGTCCAGCCGTAGATGGCGAGGTAGCTGTTTCCGTTCGGCTGGTAGGTGCCGGAGTACGTGATGGTCCTACAACAAGGTTACTGAAATGGCAACATCAAGGGGTTTCAACACAGCAAACGTACCTCGCGCTACCAGGGTTCCAGCCTTTGCCTCCCACGAAGTTACCGCCGCTCTGCCAGACGACACTGTACTGACCACCGGGACCGTTGGTGTAGGTGACTGGAGAACCTCCGTCCGTCCACCACGAGTAGTAGAACCCGTTGTGCGTGCCGGTAGACGAAGGAGTCGACTGGCGTTTCATCAACTCGCCCGGCGCGGCGAGGGCTCCGGCGAAGGCCGTAAGGGCGACGAAGACAGACGTGAACGAAACCATGGCGCTGGAGTCACTGGGGATCGGATGAATTCGAACGAGCCAAGATCGAAAGCACAGCAGTCCACCGCCGGCCCCTTATAACGCCTTCCTGTCTTTCTTGGCATAGCCTCTCGGATTGGTCGTCAGGCAAGCGTAGCCTAATAAAGATTTCCATCTCCGGCCTCTTATATTGTGGCGGTTTGGGTGTGTGTTGAAAGCACCCAATAGGACGAAATCGATTGCTTGCGTGACTGAACAATTCTCATTCTCCGCTTGACGAAGGACTGCGTGTGTCACATTGCGGGGGGGACGGCAATCAATAAGAGAGACCTTGGGTAACATTGGAGCCTCAGCAAACATTCTCAAATCACCCGGGCACCCAAACAGTTTGCACAACCTTTTGACGATAAGGGCCTAATATCCGCCACAACGCCACGACTTTGGTGGCGAGACGAGAACGAGAAGCCAGCCCGCTTGATTTCCTCATCTGAGTCTGTCATATGAACGCTTGACCACACTCGCGAGAGACCACAAGTTCCCGATTCCGCTGGCACCGGCATCGTCGTATCCATAACTGCTCATCGCAAACTCGGGCACTTTGACTGACAGTGAGCTTGTACCTTGGACGTTCCAGCTTAGGTGCCTTTGGACCGTCTCAAAAGGGTGACGGAAGATGAAGCCCGCATACAAATACCGCCTTCTCCACACTCCGGCGTCCCAGATAATATGGGATATGCGATTTAGCCGACGGGAAAAGCTGGGCAGGATGCCTCCGAGACATTTACCGGCGGGAGCCTCCTGTGCCACGACTATTGTCCTATATATCCGGTCGGGGCCACGCGGCCCCCCAGTTCACACAACGGTGATGAGATTGGGTTCTAAGCGAGGTCGTAGAGCGGCCGACATGAGAGCGGTGGGCGGTCTGGGTCTTGGCCTTGGCCAAGGGGATACCTACTTTACGTCTCTGCATCAATCTTCCAGGGGGTGCGGCGGCTTTGATTGGCGAATGTATTACTTGCTTGAACGATTCTTCGGAACTTTTCCGTCAGCTGGATTAACTTAGAAACAAGGTTAAATGCTGGACCATATTGCCCGATTGGTGTGCAGATAAGGGGGGTACACCACGTTGTTAGAAATGGTTTCTAGGTACGCCACGAGATTTGCTTCCTGTTAGCGAAGGGTTGGTTTGATACCTATCGCCGACGGAGCGGTCTCATCCAGCTGATTGTCGGACATTCGAAGCATGGTGAGACCCGCGTAAACTCATCTCATTTGTGGTTGATCAATAATACATTAGTCGCTGTACCTAATCGGGCGAAAATTAGCCTTGTATATGAAGGCTTGCGTCAGCCTCCAAATAGCAAAGCATCCAAACAGTAATCTGCTCATTTTCCGATGAGAATATGGGGTGTTTATGGATGCCTGAGATTTCAAGTGTCTGATTTGTCGGCAACGGCGATCATACGGTCTCTGGCGCACCTTAGGCTCACCTAATAAGGACAGATTCCTGGGGTCGTAGACTGATGCCAACTTATGACTTATTATTATCCAATAGCCATTGTTACAAGGCCAAGAGAATATGTTCAATTTCACGTACCCAACATTGTTATGTGCCCCATATTCCCTCATATACTCTGTTCAAGACGCTTTCATACACCTTGGCTTATCGATAGCTTTCTGTTCGTAGTTCTGGCACCACTATGATCTTCAAGGTCCGCGCCGAACATGGGGCCATAATCTGTAGGACTCTGAGGCAATCCTGCGATAGAATTCCATCTAGAGTACCCGGATTCGGACATCGTAGTCGTTGTCTTAAACCCGGCGCTTTGCGGATCCTGCGTGACCCCCTTCATGTCGCTGTTTCCTGACTCCGTGGAACCCTTCCTCAAACTGCCGATGCGGCTAGAGAAGAACTTCCACCATATCTTGAAGATAGGCATGCACAAGACGAGATTGCCGACCAGCATTGCTGTGCTAACCTCGCGGATGCACCAGATGAGCCACACGGGGTCGAACATGTTTGAGAAAACAGCCACTTTGAGCAGGATTGCCGAGAGCATCTGTTGGGTTCAGCCTTTGCAAACAAAATTGGCAACGGTTGAGGCCGTTTGGGGATTACCTACGACGAATATGCCCATGCTAAACAAAGCGATGAGTAGCAATTTTCTGTAAAAACATGCGTGTCAGCTTCGAAGCTCGTGACTAGTACACGTATGCCGCCACACGAGATACCTACTTTCCAATCTTCATATTCATCCTGCTGATGAGTGTGACTGGAATGAGTAGCAGGACTAGATCTGTTGAGAGGTTCATAGAAAGCTGAAGTATATTGTAGTCACGCCATGTCAAGCACTGTTCTGTAGTCGTCATGTTAGTCTCTCTTTACGTGTGCTCTTTGAGTACTACAGTGTATTCCTGGTTGGCTTCATCTCCATATTTGCAGACATATACATACCGTTCTGTGGCTGAAGGACTAGATAGTCGGAGAATGGCCGACACCATCCACCGTACAGAGTGACAATAACTGCAAGGTATGATAGACCAAGAAACATCGAAAGCATCGCCAAGAATTTGTAATCGTGACCCAAGAGGCTGTTGGCCCACGGGCTTCATGTCAGCAACATCCCTTTGATTCGGCGCAGGAAGGTTAACGCTCGGGGTTGGCTAAAGGCGGTACCTACGTTAAGCGATTATACAGTAGCAAAATACAGACTTTATTGCCCCACAAAGTCGTCTGCATAGCCGTTTCGCCAAGGATATTTAGTATACCGAGTCGTCGGCCAGCGCGGGCCTCATCTTCAGGTGTGATATGGTCGAAATCAATATTCGCTGAGTCTTCAAGGTATAGGTACAAAGACACCAGCGAAATGGTATATATGACCTATGAAATATGGATTAGGACTGACGAATAGAAAATTATTATGTCTGGGGTGAGCCTGAATCGTAGTGCTAGAGGCACCAAGAGGACATATTGGGAACGAAGAAATAGTTCAACTGACAACGATGACAGCCATCAGTATATCCTCTGCTGGAATCTTTCTCAGAAAGTTTCGCTTTCGAACGATGTACTGTGATGCACTTGTGAGCCGGTTAGCGATGAAAAGCCCGACGAGGGATGGCGGTCCATTGGACGAACTATCTGATGAGCACTATGGTGATGGTTAAAGAAAACCACACCCAGCATTCCTTATCGGCATGTGCTGTAATAGACATGATGGCGACGAAGTGGTGATTGCATCATCGATGTGGCTGCGGCTCTCGGCGTGTCTAAGTAATGTTCCTCGGGATGGCTTCGATGGGATTCCTCGCCACGTCTTGACTGTAGTATTGAAAAGAAAGTCAGTCTCAAGGAAAAAACGGGAGAGGCTGAGGTTGACAAAGCGGGAAAACGCAAAGATTTTCCAAGAGAAGCTCCCGTGTCACAATGAACAGCTCGGCAGGGCTTTAAGTATCAAATGGCTCCCAGGTCTAGAAAAGCCTCTAGGCGAATGCAGTTGGTAAACAATGCTTGTCGGCGGGCAAGCCAAAATAGTGCCAAGGGACCGTCATGTTTCGTGGGGGGCTTGACACAAAGTCGACCATGAGCCAAGCGCAATCTTGGAGGAATGCAGCAACCAACGAAGGTAATGTGGCCGCGATCTATGACTGCTTGCCGGGAAGCCCTAAAACCATAACACGTTGCGAGATGAAAATTCCGTGTACCCGGTTAAGACGTGTGGCAAATCGAGCCGCATGCGGCAATGCATTCTTAGCCAGTGCGGCCGCAGCTGGGAGCTAGGTGTTGTACATCTGAGACGCCATACTTTGTGGCTCCTCGCTCGGTAGATCTGGAGTGTGAAGGGAAGAGTGGGAAACTTGGGTCAACTGGGATGGTGTGCGAGAGAGATGGTGCGAGGACGGGTGGACGGTTGATAGCTTCGATCCAGCCGGGCCATTTTGATGGGCGAGTCTCAGGAACGTGAAGGTCCTCGGTCTTTTCTCCCAGCGTGCACATCCAAGACCGTTGTCTCACAAAAAAACATTCGATTGGAACGGGTCGTTGATACGGTCGACGGGGCGAAGCGTTCCACCCAGTCGGTTCTCCTAGTACAACAACACACTTGGGGGTTGCCAATCTTACCGTTGGACGAAGGGGAATAGGATAGCGTGGAAACCATTCTGGTACCTAGTAGCAGGATGACTTTGGACCGCGTATAGCTTAGTTGAATTACGCATTATCTTTGTGGCCTGCTCGAAAGCAGCGATGAGGAGCTTTACTCCGTACATATGAAACATAGGGATAGGCGGGGGTATACATGGCGTCGACCTCATGGTCTGGCCGATAAAAATTCCTTCCATCGTACAATCACTTCCTCGCGGTCCGCCTCGGTCGACGTCCTATAGTCGACCATACCACGTCTCAACTGAATCAACATAACCTCAGCCCTGAGTTCGGTTAGTCTGTGTTTGGAAAGTTCCTTTTCGAGTCCTTTCAGCGTGTAACCGGGTAAACCAAAAAGCCCTACGCGGAGCCTCGTTAGTGACGTGTTGACAGGGGATTACGGGGAAAAACTTACCGGCAAAGATGTTATATGTGAACCCGCGAAGGGCTTGCCAAGTGCCCTTACCGAAACCCTTGATACCCTCATTCTTTGCTCCCTTGTATGGCTTCACGATGACACCGCTGAAAGCTTCCCAGCCCCCCAAGGCGAACTCTTTGCCCGCCGTTCGAAGGCCGCTCCCCAACCCGGTGATTTCGTCCCGCCTCCTCACGTCGTGGCCCGCAAAGCCGTACGACGGGAAGTTGTGAAAGCCGTTGGCCACGTTGTAGAAGACGGCAACCGGTGCCTTGAGCCCGGCCTTTGCCACCTCGATGCCGTAGCGGCCGGTCGCGCGGGTGATCTCCATCGGCCGACTTCGCTGGCGCTTCCCAATGGACATGACCGACTTCTTCCGCCTCCCTCGCTTCGTCAAGTCCTCCAGCGCGAGCTCGGCGGCGGGGTTGGCGCACCGAAGGGACTTGGTGGCCATCTTCATGGCAAGGCTCTTCAACTGCCTCGGCGTCATTGTGCTTCTCCTTTCAATCTTCTTCGCATGTCCATCCGCCGGATTCGCTTCCCCCTCGCCGCTGGGCTCCACCGATGCCTCGCGGGTTGTGTTGATTTCCCCCTCTGCGGGCTTTCCTTGGCCCAGCTGGTCCTCGAAGTCGATTTCGGTTTCGCGCACCCGCATCGATGGTTGAGGGTTGCGCAGTCGCTGAGAGTAGTCCGAGGTCGCTGTCCCGACGGCAGTGAAGAAGCCTGCGGCTGCTGCGACCAGGCCGATGATGGGGGACTCTGCACCCTCGTCGACATACCAGTGCTTTTGCCTCAGGAGCTTCATTTCATGGGGCTTCATGTACCCCTGGTCGATCAGACAGGTAACGGCAAAACCACTCAGGTGGGCGCCGGTCTTCTTGTGCCTCCAGACCGCCAGTCGTTCGGGGCAGATGTCGCACCTCATGGTGTCAATTGCGAGCCTCTCCTGGATACCTCTCGCCGTGTCGCCCGCGCCGTCCTCTTCGGCGATTCGCTGCGCCATTTGCTGGACCGCCACCTGGACCTCGGGCTTCAGCGCAAAGGTGATGCTCGACGCCAGGGTCTCGGCCGTCATCTCTTTGAACGGCACCGGCGCCGGGCCGGCGCCCGCTCGGGCGATCATCTGGCCCCAGAACGGCTGATCGCCGAAGAAAGGAACGACGACCGTGGGACGGCCGGCGGCGATGCCGGCTGCGGACGTCCCGGCGCCGCCGTGGTGGACGACGGCGGAGACGCGCTTGAAGAGCCAGTCGTGCGGGCAGTTGCCGATGAGGTAGACGTCGTCCGGGACGTTATGGCTGCCCCCGACGCCGCCCCACCCCTTGGACACGATGGCGCGGACACCTGCGATCTCGACGGCCTTGAAGATGAGCTGCGTGAGGGCTTTCGGATCGTCGACGACGATGGAGCCGAAGCCGATGTAGACCGGCGGTGGCCCGCTCTCCAAGAAGGCCGTCAGGTCCGGGGGCGGGGTGTACTTGTCAGCCAAGGGTAGGAAGGAAAAGCCGGTGATGTTGATATGAGAGTCCCAGTCTTTCGGCTTCGGGATGAGAGACTCGGACCAAAGGAACGTGTACGGCACGCGTAACCTGGGGAGGAGCTGGCATCCCCACATGGGGCTGATGTGATCCAGGCCCAGGGTCTGTGTGCGGAATTTGTTGATCACGTCACCGAGTCTGAGAACCAGAGTTCACGTATTAGTGATGTACTGGGAGGGGGGGGGGGGAGGTTTTGGGGGCAGCATGGAAACTGACCCTTGCCAAGTCAAGAGCTCCATCATGATGAAGGAGAGGTAATTGGCGACGCTCTTGTCCGCGTCGCCGTAGCTCATGGACGCCAGGGGATGGTGGAAAGCCTGGGTAGGGCACCACGGCATCGTGAAGACCATGTGCAGCGGCACGCCGAGCTTCTGGGCGCAGTGAATGTGTGCCATCGATGGCGGGTTGGCGATGATGGCGTCGGCGACGAAGAGATGGTTGGCGTCTTTGACGGTAGCGGCCGTCGTGCGCTCTCCCATGCCGTCCCCTGCCTCGATGCAGCTCCGCCACGCGCCGTTGATGATCTCGGCCATCTCTTTCCTGCGCTGCCCGATGTCTCCGGCCTTGACGCTCTCGCGGCTGGGCAGCAGGCCGGGGTTCTTGACCATGTACGCCATGAGCGCCTCCGGGTCGCCGCCGATGCTGAAGAATTCGACGCCGTTGGACTCGACAAACTCCTTGAAGACGGGGTGCGTGCATATGCGCACCCTGTGGCCGTAGGGCGGCTGCATGAGCAGCTGGGCGATGGGGATGAAGGGCTGGATGTCCCCGCGCGACCCGACGATGTGGATGGCGATGTTCAGGCGCGGGCTCGCCGCCGGCGGGTGCTGCCTCAGATTCTCAAAGACAACACTGCTGTGTCTGCGCACCCTGCCTCCATCGTCTTCTCTGCAGCTGTTGTCGATAGATGGAGGCCTGAAGGCGCCCTGGGCGTTCCGGAACCAAGCCGCCAGTGTCTGAGGATTCTCATGGAACCGGACCTTGACACGGCCATCGTTGCCGACGTTGCCGGTGGTCGTTGTATCGGATCGGTCACCGCTGCCCAGCTGAATATGCCCCAAGCCTTTAGAGGTGACGCGGCTGAGTGACATGACGGGGGATCTGACAGGCTCAGAGCCTGTCTGAGCTTGGGCTGTCGATGATGGAATACTTGAATGAACCGTTGTGCAATGAATCTATGATGACGATGAGATGAAGAGTTAGATATTTAGCAATAAAGCTGCCAACTCGTCTTGGCGGCCTCTTCAACCATCACGTGTGTCATCCAGTCGCCGAGTGTCCGTTCCTCCAACTCCCGACGGTGCCGCTTTCATCCATTCGTTGGTGAAATGCCCAAAACGTTATCCGCGGGGGGGGGGGCGCTAGGTTTTCACCTTAGCGTCCTTAGCCCTGTTGACGAAATGATAATTCCATGCTGATTTACCAAAGATGACTTGAGGGTTTACGCCGTTTGCGGTTTAGTCCCAGACAACTGACATGTGCTGTATGGGCCCCCCTGGTCTTGACTCGCAGCCCTGTCCCTTGCTTTCCACCCCCTCTACGACGTATTGTTTTTGTTTCTTGGGTCCAATCCACTGGTTTTCCCGTTGTAGACAGGAGGGCCTTCTCGGATGAATGGGAAACATCGGCAGCCCCGAACTCCGGGTTCACCGGCCAACAAACACTCCCGAGAGTCCATCTCGCCCTGCAGACAACATTCTTAAACTCCCTGTGACCTACCTCACGGGTTCCAAGATAGACCGCTGGTGCTTGCGTGAAATGTTTCTTGGAACTCCCGTGACCATCCGGTTTGTTTGTGTGCCAAGCCCGTGATGCAAAGCCGGCAGAAGCGGAAAACACCTGATCCCTCTTGGCCAAGCCGGCGAGTCCGGATTGCCCGGGTCTTGGGGCCGAGCACCGCGGCAAACCTTGTTCGCTGGCCGCAGGATCATACCTGCAGCCGGACGAAGTGCGTGTGCTCCGTATTTTCGTGCTCACGGCTGGTATCGGATGCTGGCAAAAAGCCCTACTATCATTTCTTGATCAATCGATGGCGCATATACCACTGCGCCGCGAAACGCGTCCCCGGCGGCGAGGGGGATACACTAACGTTCGTCCAGGGCCGCCGCATTATTCGTGTTCTTATCAATGATGGCCAAGCAGTCGCTTTATTAGCAGCCTTGGTGAAGTGCACAAGTTCATTGAATTCAAAGCAACTGAACCGCTTGCTAATCCTCCGTGAGTTGTGAGAAATCCCAGACACAGTCGCCCATTACATTAGTCTCGTTAGCCTCATTAGCCTCATAAGAAGAAAAGAAGAAGAAAACGCCTCATGTTGCCCTCCGACTAGGACGCCAACCGAATGGTGAAAAAGCTCCAACCCCGACGCCGGGAGAAAGGGGGAATCAAAATATCCGTCAAATCTGTCATTGTTTACTTCTTGCTGAAATCAGGTGCCAAACTGCTCTTCGTTGCGGCGAGGGCCGCGAGTTGGGAGATGCTGGAGTTGTTCGTGATGTCGAAGACAATCACCTCGGCGCCGAGCTCCTTCAGGAGCCAGGACCGGAGCTCGACAGCGGTGAGCGAGTCGATGCCGTACGCGTGCAGGGGCCTCGAGAACTCGAGGTTCGAGACCTCGATGCTGAGCATCCGCGCAATCTTGAGAAGCAGCGCGTCCAGCACGATGCCCTCCACCTCCTCCCGGGAAGCGGCGCCTCGGAGGAGTGCCTTGTGGTTGAGGGTCTTGTTCGTCTCGTCGGCCTTCCCTTCGTCGTCGTTTCCGGTGTGTTGAAGGTGGCTGAAGAGGGGATCCTCGCCCCACGAGTGCGTCTGGTAGCCCTCGACGGCCGTCTCTCGTGGCAGCCAAACGCGCGGGATGACCTGAGCCCTGGACACCTCCGCCGGCTTGTCTGCTGCAGGGCGGCAGTGGTAGTCCAAGACGGCGTACAACTCCTCCTCCGAGATGTGAGTCCACCCGGTCGAGCGGAGGTAGTCCCAAAGCTCCGGCTTCTCGGCCACGTAGCCCACGCCCTCGACGATGGGGAGGTCAATGGAAACAGCGTTGATGCCTTGCGCGACCATTTTACGTGCCAAAGCGTCCTGGAACGTACCGCCCGCGGCGTAGTTCGCCTGCTCGGGGTTACCGATGATGCTGACGAACGAAGAAAGGAATACGAAAAAGTCCGTCTTGTCGCCGAGGACGTTGCAGAGGTTCCGCGACCCGTCGACCTTGGGACGGGTGGCTGCCTTCCAGCCGTCGAACGACATGTTCTGGACAAGGTTGTCCTGGCAAAGTGTGAGCTATGAAATCATGGAGACGATGTGTGTATTACGAACCTGCAGGACCATGGATCCCTGAATGCAGCCCTTGACGGGCGGTAGGCTTGTCAAAATCCCGTTCATGGTGTTGATCAGAGCTTGCTCGTCTGTCACATCGCACGCCGGCGCGACCACGTTGTCGCACACGGACTTGAGCTCGTTGACGAGTTGGATCGCGGGCTTCTCAACAGCACCGCGTCTCGAAAGGAGGATGAGGTTCTTGGCGCCTCGAGACGCCATCCAGCGCGCGACCGACCTCCCAAGACCACCGAGCCCGCCGGCGACGACATACGATGCCTTGGGGTCGAAGAAGCTCGCTGGCTTGCGGCTAGCCATGACCGGTACCACGTCCTGGTCACGGGGCTCCAGGACCACCTTGGCGGGCCGTCCCTCGGACTGTAGTCGGCGGAACGCGTCTTGAGCCTGGGAGAACGAGTAGACGGCGGCGGGCGTCGGCCGGCTTATGCTGCTCCAGCTGGCAGACACGAGGTCGACCATGTGCTGGAACAGGGTTTCGGTAAGGGGAAGATCATGGGCCGCACAGGAGGCCAAGTCAAAGGATTCCAGGCGGATATTGCGGCCGCGAGGGAGGCGGGCGCTCGAGACGGAGATTTCTGAGCCGATGCTGACTATCCGCCCAAAGGGTGCGACGCAGCCGACCACATCGTCGATGGGCCCAGGTGCGTCGGCCGTGTTAACGACAAGGCTGACCCCGCGGCCCTTGGTAAGGCTCTGAAGCGAGGATCTGAGTGAGCTGTCGCGGCCGTTCAAGATATGTTCTTGTGGAATGCTACCAAGGGCGGCGATCGTATCGCGTTCCGCCCGGTTGTTGACAGTCGCATAGACTTTGGCGTCTTTCAGCTTGGCAATCTGGATCAGGGCCTGCCCAAGCGTTGACGCGCCATCCTGGACCAGAACTGCGTCGCCTTTCCGAAGGGATCCAAACTCGTAGAGGACCGCGTAGGCGGTGGTGTAGTCCGCCGGGAGAGCTGCGCCATGAGCCCAGCTCACGCCGTCGGACAGTTTGGCAAGGAGTCCGTCCGTGGACCGCGCATGGGTCTTGGTGGCGCCCGAGGTGGTCAGGCCAAAGACCCGATCGCCAACTCGGAACCTGGTAGAGGACCCGGCCTTGGTGACGATGCCGGAAACCTCGCACCCCAGAGGCGATTCCTCCGTCTTCCCAAGCGCCGAGGATAGATCCCTAGCCGTGAGTCCGCAGGCCATGGTCTTGAGTTGGACTTCGTGGTCGCCCAATGGCGTGTCGAACGTGTCGTCGTCCTCGAACCTGAGCGAATCGAGATGCCCGACGTCTCCCACCTGCAGGGCCAGAGGCCGGGAGGTATCGTCGCCTAGGGGCCTGCTCACCACGCTCGATGAGCCCGTCTGGGCTTGGAGGTGCTCCGTCAGATACTTTGCTTGGACGAGCCGAGGCACGTTGACGATACCGTCAACGACTCTGAACGAGTTTTCCGCATCGTCTTGCGCGTTTCGGAGTATCTGGACGCACTTCTCCGCGACGGAATATTCGCTTGCGGTCGCCGCGAAGGACGCGGTCAAGAACTTGACGTCGGGCCTCTCTGCGCGGACGACCCTGGCAAGACCCGTGACAAGCTCTGCATCCGGGTCTGGCGCCGCGGCAGTGCCTCCGCGGGTGACCCAGAGGATGAGCTTGCTCCGGACAAGGACGTGCTTGAAGCTCTCAAACATCTCCTCCGTCATGTCGGCCAGACACGGCCGGTCGAACTCGGATAAAACGACACATGCCGAGCCGGCCAAGCTTCTGGTGGCGATGGCCTCGGCCGTGGTGACGTCGCAGGGCCCATACAGGCCGATGCTTTGCGACATGTCTTTGGCCACCTTGGCCTGCGCAGGCGTACCGCTCGTCAAGACGTAAGTCGGCATCAACGACGCGGCTCTCTTGTCCGGCCGGGGAACAGTTGACACCAGGATCGAGCTCATCTGGTACGGCGACGAGGGGAAGTCGTGGAAGACGGCGTCGAGGCCGCTGAATCCCGCGTTGGTCAAGTGGTGACTCCACGAGACGGGCGACATCAAGGGACCCCAGATGCGGTCCTTGTCCTCCGACAGCCACCACCCGGGAAGCACGCCGAAGCAGAAGCTCCCGAGCAGGACCTCGGTGTTTGTGATCTCGAAGAGGAGGAGCCTGCCGCCGGGCTTGAGCAGTCTCCGGGCGTTGCTGAGCGTGTCGTCCATCTTCTTCGTGGCGTGCAGGACGTTGGCCGCGACGATGACGTCGTACCGGCCGGCCTCGAAGCCCTGCGCCAGGGGGTCGTTCTCGACGTTGAGGAGGCGGAAGTTCATGTGCGCCAGCTCGTCCTTGAAGGTCTCCTTGGCCTGTTCGAAGAAGGACGGCGAGATGTCGGTGAAGTCGTAGCGCTTGTAGCGGCGGCCGTCCCGCGTCAGCGTCGCCATGACGGGCCGGGTGGCGCCGCCGGTGCCGCCGCCGATCTCGAGGACCTCCATGGCCGGGTTCTTGTGGGCGAGGGCGTCCAGGTAGCTGCAGAGTTGGGCGTAGCAGCGCTTCGAGCCGAGGCCGTTCTTGTAGACGTCCTCGGCCAGCTTGTCCTTGAAGATGACGTCCAACGGGTCGCGCTTCCCGCTGAGGATGTCGTCCAGGGCGTTGCCGACGGCGATGATCAGCTTTCCTTCCGAAGCGCCCGAGGCCACGACCCTGGCCTCGAGGTCGGCGATGGCCTCGCCTGCCGCCTCGTTCGAGGATTGACGTACGACATGCTGAAACCAGGAGGCGTATCGTTGATGGTACCAGGCCATGTTAGCAATGGTGTCCTTGGACGTGCCGAGGACATAGCGACGGATGTACGCGAGACACAGCGCTTCGCAGTCCCTCATCCACCGAGAAGGGTCGTCTTCCGCCGACATCGGTAGGTCAAACAGCTTGGAAGCCTGTTCTCTGTTGAGGAAGCTAGGGTCTGGCCTCCATGCAATGTTGAAAGCGGGGTGCGTCGACGCGTTCTTGGCCGCCTTGGACGACGCCTCGTGGGAAATGGTCCTGAAGAGCAGGCCCGACATGCGGACCATTGTTTGGCCCTGCTCGGGATGTGTGGCCGTGACTTCGGCCGTCACCTCGTTCCGGCCGCGAAGCTTGGACTCTGCCGACACATTGTATGAGTCGTGAAGAAGCTCAGGACGCGCCGAGACCCATCCGTCAGTCAGATAAGTCGGCACCCTGGTCGAGCGGGAATACTTGGCGTTGGAGACCAGCGGGACGACGTTCGCATGGACGACGGCATCAAGAGTGGCCGGGTGTACCAGATGGGGCTGGACGTACTGGTACGGCATCACTTTCTTGATCTTCTCGCCGGGCGAATCAACCGTAGCAATCATGTTGAGACCCTGCCCGAGGCGTACATTGCTCAAGGTCTGGAAGGTCGGGCCGAAGTGTAGCCCCGATTGTGAAAGGTTGCGGTACAGCTTGTCGACGGACACCTCGGTCGTGTACCCGCGGCTGACGTTTATCTGGTTACCTTGGATGCTGGGAAGGGCAAGAAGATGGTCGTCGAGTTCGTACTCGGTTTGCACGAATCCGTGGCAGTGTTCTCTCCACTCGCCGTTCTGCAACGTCCAAAGCTGGAACTCCTTCCATGCGGAGGGGGCCGAGACGCTTGATTCCCGGTGTTGACGGAGGTAGAACTGCGATTCCACGCCGTTCGCATCGTCAGGCACGCGTAGAGCGAGTTTGAAGGAGACGTCCCGGAATCTGAATCCTTCCAGGGTCTTGGTCCTGTCGGCGACTTGCCGGCTCGCCTCTATAGCCATCACGAGCATGCCGGCAGCGGGGTACAGCACACGCCCCGAGACTTTGTGGTCCTCGATCCACGGACTCTCCGTCAGGCGGATGTAATTACGCCACGTGCCGTTGTCCTCGTTGAAGCCCGGCATGGGGGCCCCGAGGAGCTCGTGCCGGCCGGCGTGCCTCTCCCGATGGTGGTCGCTCAAGGTGCTCTCGACCCAATACTCTTTCGAGTGGTCGAACGGGTACGACGGGAGGTTCGTCAGCATGAGAGGCCTGGGACCGTGCGGCTCGTCCGCCTCGTTGACTTGGGCGAGGCGGACGCTGTATCCCTGGCAGAAGAGGGAGCCGGCGGCCTCGAGTGTGGTTTCCACGGCCGACTTTTGGCGACGCAGGACGGAGTGATAGTCGACCTTGGAGGTGCCTCGGACTTGCTTGGTTGTGCTGGACAGCGGTCCCTTCAGAGCGCTATGGGGGCCGATCTCGAGGAAGTCGGTGATGGGCTCCATCGCGGGCTCGTCGCCGTTGACCCCGTTGACCCCGTTGACGTGACCGTTGACTTTGGGTTGTGACGATCCTTTCAGCATCTCTGTGACAGACTCTGTGAACCTCACGGGCGACACCAAGTTCTCGACCCAGTAGTCCGGTTGTCGAAGCCGGGAGAGCGCTATCGGGGCGCCAACCGTCGACGAGTAGAACCGGGGTTCGAACGGGCTTTTCAGAACGCCTTGCCCCAGCTCGCCCATCGCCCGGAGGTACTCGTCGGCCATGGGCTTCATGTACTGGGAGTGGTACGCGATGTCGACGTTGAGCTTCCGGGCAAAGACCTTGTCGCTGCCGAGCATCTCGACGAGGCGGTCAATCTTCCGGGCGTCACCGCTGACGGTGTGGCTGTCGGAGCTGTTCATGCAGGCGATCTCGAGGGTTCCCTCGCCGCCCAGCTGGTTCAAGCGGCCGATGGCGGCCTCCGTGCCGGCCTTGTCCAGGCCGACGGCAGCCATGCCGGTCTTGGGACGCGATTCGGAACGGGCAAGCTTGGCGCTGAGCCTTCCGCGGTGGTAGGCCACTTTCCACGCCGCCTCTCTGGGGATGGCACCGGCTGCGTATGCTGCGGCGACCTCGCCCGATGAGTGGCCTGTGATTGCATGTGGATAGATGCCCCAGCTGGTGAGGAGGTCCACCTGGGCGACCTGCAGAGCCGTACATATGGGTTGACAGAATTCCGGATCGTCTATCCGAGACGATGTTTTCGGCTTGGATAGTTCAACTTGAATGAAAAGGGCGTCAGTCATGCTCTCGGGCAACGGTACCATCATTCTACAACGGCAACTTACAGGTTAACGACCATCTGCAGCCCAGATCATTCAGGTATCTGTCGGCTGCAAAGAGACTCTCCTGGAACGCGCGGTAGGCCAGCAGGTCCATGCCCATGGCGGCCCACTGCGCTCCTTGGCCCGTGAACACGAAAGCCAGACGAGGGTTCGGCTTCGCCTTTGTCGGCGTGAGGCCGCCATCATCGAGGGCCTTCTGGAGTTGGGTCGGGGAGCCGGCGATGCTCACCGATCGCCAGGCGTGATGTGTTCGTCTCGACGCCAGAGTATGACTGAGGTCCCTCAAGAAGCGTAATTGAGCCGTCTCGCCCAAGTCCTCTGCCACCTTGGCAGAGAGGTACTCCTTGTACAGTTTCTTGAGACGCGACGCAGCGTCGGGGTCATTGCCCGAAAGCACGAAGAGCCTCGGGAGATCTTCACACTCGTATCCACTCAACTCTACACCGCTATCTGAGCGGCGGGGCCGGTTGATGGGATCTGTTGGGCCGAACCATATTTGTTAGTCGAGTCCCGATACGATGGTTAACCTTTATGGAGGAAAAGATACTCACAATCGCCGTTGGTCGTCGACCCGGGGGTGAGGTGGCGAGGGATATGCGGACTCGCCTCGGTCCGGTGGTTGCCATTGAGCCGGTGGTTCTTCAGGAAATGAAGCGCATCGTCCATGACGACATGCGCGTTGCTGCCACCGACGCCGAAGGAGTTGATGGAAATGCGCCGCAGCCCCCGTTGGGGCCAGACGGTCGGCTCTGTCGGGAACTTGAGGTTCCATGAGTCCTGGATCCTGGGGTTCTTCTTCTCGAACCAGATGTTGCCGGGGATGACGCCGCTCTCGAGCGTCAACACGCCCTTGATGACGGCGGCCACGCCCGCCGCGCCCTCCAGGTGGCCGACGTTGCTCTTGAGGGCGCCGATGAACAGAGGCTCGTCCTGGGACCGATGGGGCGCAAACATCTCGGCCAGTGCGCTCGCCTCGATGGGGTCGCCAACCGGCGTTCCCGTCCCATGGGCCTCTGCAAAGCGGGTAAGCGAGGGGTCCAGGTTGGCCCGGTCGTAGACGTGTTTGATCAGCGCGACCTGGCCGGCCTTTGTCGGTTGCGTGATGCCGGGGGATCGGCCGTCCTGGTTCGTCGACGAGTTTCGGATGACGGCCCGGATGACGTCCCCGTCGCGGACCGCATCCGATACCCGCTTGAGCACCACAGCCCCGAACCCTTCACCGCGGGCATATCCGTTGGCCCGGTGGTCAAAGCTATACGACTTGCCATCCGGGCCAAGGACGCCCGCGGCGTCGAGCTTTAGCGTCATCTCGGGTGTTAGGATAAGGTTGCATCCGCCTACAACGGCCTAGCCGGCGACATGATGGGGTCAGCGCACGTTGGTTTTCCGACCTTTGGTTCCTGTTTTATTTTTATTTCCTCTTCTCCGTCTTCTCTTTCACACACCCCACCCCCCCTTGCAAAGTCAAATATATGGCTCACCATGGATATTTCCCGGAGCTTCAGGCTCATGCATGCTTCGTGCACTGCTACCAGGCTGCTTGAGCAGGCTGTGTCGACTGTTACACTCGGACCCCGGAAGTCGAAGAACCACGAGACCCTGTTGCTCAGCATGCTTGCCACTGTGCCCAGCGCCGAGTACTTATTTGGTATGTCCAAGTCTTTTGCTATGTGGTCGTTGTAATCCGCCGTGAAGCAGCCGACGTACACGCCGGTCTGTGACCCGGCCACTGTGTCGAGTGGAATCCCAGCTAAGCAGCCAAGTTAGCAGCAAACTCTCTTCACCTTGCTCTCTTTTCCATTGGTCATTTCTGCCACTAAATGTGTGTGTGTGGGCGAGGGTGCCCGGGGAACATCCTGACCATTTTCGAGTGCCTTGTATACGCTTTCCAGCATTCCTCGCTGTTGTGGATCGATACTCCGTGCTTCCGTCGGGGTGATGGAGAAGAAGGGCGCATCGAACGCCGAGATGCTGCCTTTGAGGAAATGGCCGTGGCGGACCCGTGTCTGCTTCCCTGGTCAGTCTCGGTCCCGGCATCGGAATCGGGCTCTCGAATTCTCTTCAGAGCTCGCGAGGGGACGGGACGCACCGCGCCGCTCCTGTCGGCGTTTGGGTGCCAAAAGGCGTCCGCATTGTACCTCTCCCGTGGCACTTCTGTCCGGGCTGACCTCCCGGCGAGCAGAGAGTCGTAGAAGCGCTCAGGGGTATCACCATCGCCAGGCAGTCTGGCGCTCACGCCCACAATGGCAATTGGCTCTTCCATTGTTCTCGTAAACTACGGAGTACGGATAATGGTGGCGTATTGATAATGATTTGCTCTCGTCCGTGCGGTGAGCTAACACTTAGATCGGGACGATGTGTCGGAGGGGAGCGGTTAAGACATGAAGCGAGGTCGTTAGGACGGGACACGATGCCTGGGTCAGGGCTCGAGCGGGAAGTCCACCGCTTCTTCCATCACCTTCATCTAGCTGTGGACATACAACGGACCATCATGGCCGTCGATGTCAAGTTTGATAACCCTAGCGGCTCGGTGGTGCCCTCCCCCTGTCACGACCTCCGCCAGACGTTACGAGGGGGAAAACCAGACCCGGCGTGGGGCGCGATATTGAGGCTATTACCACGGGAAGAAGCCGAGAACGCGGGATGAGTGTACCAAAATAAACGTCATGCATCGGTATGTTTGTCTTTCTGCAAGGATAATATCAACTGATAACCACATCCAACTATACCTCGGCTGCGGGCTATACCTATGGTACGGTACAAAGCTCGCGGGTTGGCGCGCGTGCATCAGCCCATTGGCTCATGGAGGCAGCAGGACGCTTACTTCGCGTCCAACAAGTTTCTTAACAACGGGGCTGGAGAAACGGTCAGTGTAGGTAGGGGTCTCTTGATGAATCCGTCGAGCTGCTAATGCACGCACACCAAGCATCACGGGCTCTGGATACAGGAAATTTCGATATCACAAATCACACACAAAGCATCCTGCCGAGTACTGCAAACACATTGGCCAGACGGGAGAGCCATGGCTTATCCCATCCTGGCTTAGCCTGCAAACTGCACTGCCGTCCCTGGCAGTGATGTGCCTTGCCTAGTCTCCTCCCACAGCCGGCAATTTGTTTGCAAGTCCCCTCGGACTGGGGAATATGAACCCTATCTGCCGCTCTGGTTGGTTGCCATGGAAGTGGTGGTGGGGGGCGCCCTAGGGGATTGCTGTTGGTTTCTCCCCATCCATTCGTTTCCGTAGCATTAGTCCAATCCCAATGTACGTAGTAGAAGTGCTTTGTTTGCTCCAATATCAATAGTTCGAGCACGCGGCGAGTATCGTTACCTACATAGTACATTGTAATTGGTGTGCGGATACTCGGTACTATACATGGTATCCGTACTACTATAGACTTCCAGCTTCCTCTTCCCCCTTTTCCCACTACCTGTTGCAGTGGTTGTAGAGCCAGGTACCGGAGCACCGGCAGGAATCGCAGGGAACACTGGGCAAAGGCTTGTTGCCCAATCACCGCCCCGGCGAAGGGCATTCCACCTCCACGGGATCCTTGACTCGGTGCCTAGCGCAAGAAGCGAGCCCACATTATACTCATGGCATCCCGGCTGCTAACCCTTGGCACTTCTCGGTTACATGGTCTGTGGTTGTTTGCTCCGCACTATGTAGCTATGCTGGACGCATGGTCATGACTAGTGAGCCAGATGGCAGGTTTTGGGTTTTTGGGTGCCATTGACAAAACGATAACGTCTAACGTCGGGCGGCGTATTAAAAGGGGAAGGGGTATCGTGGAATATCGGAGGCACCAAGCCATCATACTGTGTCTGTCTGTCTGTAAGGGCCTCGACCCCGAAAGCTCAGCTTTTGAGTTTGAGTCTCACCACCCTCGGAATGTCAACTACTGTGTACGAAGTACGGAGTAGAGCACATGTATAGTAATTAGTAACAGGTCTTGCTGCGAGAGTCTTCCCCAGAAATTACGCGCGGCTTATTGGTGTGTGTGTGTGTGTCTATTTGTATTCTGTACTGATAAATCACCACGGATCCCGGCGAAGGGCCACAGAGCCCCGCACGTCGTTTTGATACCTGAGCGACGTAGTTCATCTAAAACATCAACAAGGTTCTTGATTTCCCCTCAGCAGTCAAGCCATGGAAAAGGGAGACGCGGACAGGGGGGGTCTCGAGGACGGTAGTGTCCGAGCAGCCAGGCTGGCATCGTACCCAAAAAGAAGGGGAAAAATTACCAGCTGCCCTAGCCCATTTCTTTCCCTTCCCCCCATGTCTTCGAAAGAAAGAAAAAAAAAAACAAAAAAAAAAAAGAAGGGGAAAAAAGAAGGACAAGGGAACGAGCGAAAAACCCAAAGACCGACTCCTTGTTATTCTAACTTCATGGAACGTCCTTGTCCATCCCGTAACTTTCTTTTGCTGCTGCTCGCCTATCACTTCTTCCTTACATACATCTTCCCCTTGCCGTAGACGGAGAAATCGGGTCGCCGTATCTCATTGTTTTTTGTTTTTATTTCTGACACCAATCCCCTTTTCCCCCCTCGGTCTCTGTTTCGCTGCAAGCAGGGCGCTACGCATCACACCACTGCGCCCACTGCTTTCTCCCCCTTGCTGACGACCTTGTTTGGGGTCGGATTGTACGTTGATGGACAATCACAGCCATCAGCGGCTTCGAAAAACCGGCTACGGCTCGGTTCCTGGCTCGCCCGTGGGACGGAAGCGCCCTTCGACAGCTGCCAACAGCGTCTCGGCCGCCTCTGCATCGACCCGGCTCACCGCTAGTTCGTCCTCTGAACGTACCCGCAAGACTTCAGCAGATAGCGGCGGCAGGCCACACACGCCGCCCTCGACGAGGCCCTCGATGCAGTCTGGCCAACAGAATGTACGGTTCACCACCCAGTCCTGATCCCCTTTCCCCCTTTTCCCCCTCATCGTCTTTTCATTGTTATATGTGTGAGAGGGAGAAAGCTCGAGCATTAAGACCAACATATCATTACAGGAGGACTGTGCCGACGAACACCCGAGCCCAACCTCCGACGAGGTAAGCCGGGCGCTATGGGCAGGGGGATCCGACTCCGACGACATGTCGGATGAGGCCACGCCGGCTGCGAGTACCCGTCTGGCTACCTAGTAAGTCGGTCCCCTATAACAGAGGCCCCCATATTGTGGTGGCGCAAGAAAGGCCAAGACTGTATTGTATACAACCTGTCTTGGGTCTTGACTAGTCGCCGTGTTGTCGCGCCGAGCGGGCTGACCGTTCTCCACCATGCAGTAGCAGCTCGGGGAGATCACGATCCAAGGACACCAGATCCATCTTTCAATCAATCTTTCACAAATTCGTAAAGACCGGCAAGCGGTTTGGCTTCGTGCCGAACAGCAAGGTACGTCGACCTCCCTTGGCGTGCCAGCCCGCCGCCCAAATGCCGCATTCATGCCCACTAATACGCGTTCCCAAACCAAGGAGGAACAAGACAGAAATGGTAAGGCCGTTTTCCTGCTTCACCCTCCAGCATCTGCCCGTCTGGCAGGACGACGCCTGTGACTGCGTATATGCTAACGTAACCTGCAGTCCTTCAACATCAAATCATTACTGAACTTTTCGACGGCAGACTCCACTTGGCCCCGGTCGTCAAGCCCAGAACGGCCCTCGATGTTGGTACCGGGCCAGGATTATGGGCTTTGGTGGGTGTTCCCCTCTTCATTACCAACTCCCCACCCTTAGTCACGCCTGAATGATGCAGATATCACGGGACGGGTCGGCTAACCTTCGTGATGCAGGAATACGGCAAGTTCCTTTCGAACGTTTGACGCGGTTGACACTAATCTTGGTTTCTTTGCTTTCTCTTTAGCCAAGAACAATCCAAACTGCGCCGTCATGGGTATTGATATCGAAAAAGTACGCCCGCCGTACTCAGTTCCCAACTGCCAGTTCAAGTTGATGGACGTCACGGCCGACTGGACGATCGACAAGCATTTCGACTACATCCATGTCCGCATGCTCGGTGATATCGTGGACAAGGAGAAGCTCATCCAGTCCATCTACGACCACCTGAACCCTGGGGGCTGGGTCGAGTTTAGCGAGTGGATCGCCATCCTTCACTCCCCGAACCATTCCCTGGACGGCAGCGCGACCCAGAAATGGAACGCCCTCCTCGATCAGGGTCTCCGGAACATGGGACGCAATATCGGATACGTCAATGAATATCCGTCACTGTTGGAGAAGGCCGGCTTTGAGAGACTGAAACTGACCAAGCATGCCGCACCCACGAACGCGTGCTATCCGGGCAAGAAGTGCCAGAGGTTCGGCGCCATGATGGCGAACAACTGGAATGCCATCATTGAGCCTCTCACCATTCCCATCTTCACCATTGGCCTCGGCTGGCCAGAGAGTGAGGTCCACGTGCTGGTGAAGAAAGTCCGCAAGGAGATTCCAGACCCCCACTACCATTCATTCATGACAATGTAAGTTGCACCTAACCTACCGCCCCCCTTCCCCTAGGGCTAGACAGCTCATATCTGCCTCTAGGATGACCGTGTACTGCCGAAAGCCACGCCTCGGCGCTTCGTCGTCCGCCTCGCTGGCAAGCTCATCGAGATCGGCGCAAGCGTCGGCGTCACAAGCGTCTTTCTCCAATTTCAGTTCACAGAGTTAGAAGAGCGTCCAACATGCTTTTTCTTTTCTTTATATTCTCGGATTGGAAGGCATTTCATCATATACCCCCCCCCCCCCCCCCCCCCCCCTCACCTATCAAGCGTTTGCGTAGAGAGCCGGTAACGGCCATGTTAAAGATTTGTGTTCAGAAGCAAAAAAAAGCTGTTAAAAAGCAGGGTCTTAGCTCCGTTGCGGAGAATAAACATGATTTGATGAGTTATGTGCTGTTTGAGCTGTGACGGAGCTCATTGACAAGCCGCGGCGGTGAGACTCGAAGTACGACTGGTCACATATCTTTCGGAGATCCCCAGGCTAATTGTCGACGCTGGGCTCTGGCGCCAAAAGATTCCTCGAGGGCCTGGTAGTATAACAGACTCATATTAATGCAGGAGCGCAGCAAGGTAATGACTGCGGATACATGAGCCCATCCCGAATGTACCGTACCGTCCGTCAGTCACGCGACCGCAACTCCGTAAATGTAAATACGTGGCTTGAAGCTATTCAGGGCTCAAAGTGGTGCCAACGGGTTACGAGGCTGCATGCAATGCACGCGTGTATGAAGAATAAGCCCCTTGGCCAACCTGCACACATTGGGTCACCAGTGAGGCATTCAACCATACGGCGAGAGCCAACGGCCGGCGGCACCAAACTCAACCTCTGTACACGAGCAGTGCCCCAGACCAGTTGGGCTGGGGGACAAGAACAAACATGAACTAGTGTACATGACTATAAGACTATATGCATTTGCCCAAAGTAGAAATGATGCCCGGATTCCAGCCCCCACCGAAATGCACGAGAGAGGATCCTTGCTTGGCTCAAGGCACCCGATCGAAGTTGTTTCTTCGGATTGGCAACGTAGCAGTGATGATACTCTCGTATCCACCTTGACTTCACTAAGTTCCTATTGGCTGCATACGAAAGAGCAGTTCTGTTGGTTGGTGCTGAAATCAAGTTGTCCAAGTTGTCCCACCTAGATAGGAAGATTCGGATGATGTTAGTGACAAACGGCGGCTCGATTGGATGAACTTGTTGCGAAGCCGCCGACTGAGCAAAAAAACGGCCAATCTCCCCAAACGATGCAGACCCTGCCTCTTCCCGTAGCGTCCATCTCATTAGCATAGTTTGGGCCGGAATACCCTCATCATCTACACTCTACATCCCCGTTCTGTTCTAGCCCACAATGGCTGACCTCGGGGCCAACCCCAACGCCGCGTACGGCGCAGTCTACACGCCGTCCTTCCTCAGTCTGTTCTACGACAAGTATGTCTTGGGCTTCAACATGAAGCACATCTGGAAGTGCTCGACAGATGACGTCCTCCTCCCCTTCTTCGCCGAGAACTTCTCCCGCAACCACCTCGACTGCGGCGTCGCCACGGGCTGGTTCCCCGCCGCGGCGCTGGCGAGGCCGTTCCGCGCAAACAGCAAGCAGCGCCTCGGGCTGCTGGACCTGACGGCGCCCCCTCTCAAGGCCGCGACGGCCCGCATCCTGTCGGTGGCCACGAACACGGAGATCCTCTGCGTCGAGGCCGACGTCACGGGCCCGCCGCCGAAGCAGCTGCTGGGCGAGCGCTTCGACTCCATATCCATGTTCAACCTCTTCCACTGCATGCCCGGCGGCAAGGTGAAGCTGCGCGCCATCGGCTCGTACAAGGAGCTCCTGAGCGAGGACGGCGTGCTGACGGGCTGCACCGTGCTGGGCCCCAACGAGTCGACCGGCTGGCTCACCAAGCTCCAGCTCCGGTGGTATAACAAGTGGTGGGGGGTCTTTAACAACTGGGACGACAACAAGGAGGACATCCAAGAGGCCCTTGAGCACGAGTTTGAGGAGGTCGAGACGTGGGTCATTGGCCAGACTATGCTTTTCCGCGCCACGAAGCCAAGGAAACCCCTGCTGGATGTTTGAATGTTGGGGTCCCAACGGAAGGAGATTGATCAACTAGCATGACCAACGACCTAATGATCATCACGTGTAACAAAACGAAACCAATTCCAATTCATGTCGCAGCGGGCTAAACACACTGGGATACAAGCTCCCCCTAGTTATAGGGCCTCTGATTTCCCGTGTTTCCCCTTGAATCGGTGATGTTGGATCGTGATCAACTTTGGAAAGTCAATCTAACACTGGCGTGTTATGCAAACAACAGATATAGTCCAAAGATCACGGATGCTGTGATCAGAACCCGTGATACTGGCGGGTGAAAAGATCCAGTGGACCGACGCTCGGGACTCTCGACTGGGTTGATGCCGGCATCGTGATTTCGAAAGTAGGAGCGGAATAAATTGTTCCGGAAACAATCGCGAATGTAGCAGATACAAATGGGCTAGGGAAACCGCTTGTGTTTCCGTCCTGTCTCGGCTTATTGCATTGAAGCTAGTGAAAGCATAATATCGCGAGTTAGAGCACACGGCAGGGCATACAGGAATAGGATTAAGAAAGGCTTAATTCAATGAAATTAGATAAGAGAAAAGAGATGTCATTTTATATAGTTAAGTTGTGCCAGCCATGAGTGAGATGCCACTTTGTTGTTCAGGTGTGGCCAGATCGCCCGCCGCTCTGAGGTCGCGCGGACGGGGTGAGCAGGGTGATCCAGGCATCTCTTCAGCATCCAAGGTGCCGTTTGGCGAAACTTGTTTCAATTTTGCCTTTTACTGTTAGTGCCTGCTTTCCCCTTCGGAGTTGCGTACTATATTCGAAATGGTGTTGATTTGTAGTCCATTTCTAGTAATTTTACCCCTGTTCTTCGCACTGCCTGCCAGTTTCGTATCGTACTAGACCATCTATATTATCAAGCTAGTCCCTAGTATATCTTGCTTTTAGGACTGAAATACTTGGCCTCTTAGCTACTCAACTTCTAGTCTTACACGGAGAATTTCACGTACAGAAAGCTTTCAACACACATTACTCTCAACATGATGATGTTATAAGACATTTACATGTTCTTATCTAATCTTCCGCTGTTGACAACTTCAGAAACTTCCGTCCACACTCAATCGACTTCTTGGGTCACCTGATGAGTACCCTAACAGCTGATGGACCCAAATTCGTTCTTGGTTGCCCTGTACCAGGTTGCCTCGACCACACCGGCGTTGCAGCCGGAGCTGCCAGTAAATCGCCAAACCAGGTTCCCGTTAGAGCCGCCACAATAGGTAGCGCTCTTGCCACAGCCGCCGAAGCCGTTCAGGTTGTCCCACAGGCCGCCACACTTTCCGGGGATGTCGTCCACGCCGCTGGCCTGCACTTGCCATATAGGGATGGCCCTGTTGCCGAAGTTTTCGCAGGTGGCTGCGGAGCTCAGGGGCGTCAGCGCCGCGAAGATTAAGCCAGCCGTGGTGGTGAAATGCATTGTTGGTGCTGGTATATTTGGCGTCTTGAGTTGGGGAGCTTAGGATTTATAAGATGAGAAGACGAGGAGCTTGTCGTGTGATTGACTTGAGGCGAATGAGAAGGGTGATGTGGGGATCGAGAGAGGCAGAAAGATAGTTGTTTATACATACTCAACACTTCACTTCCAAGTAAGAGAAAGTTATGGTCTCCTTCAGTAATTCCGGGTCCTCGTATATTTGACCAATCATCCCTTTGGGAACAACTGGCTCTATAGGCAGCAACACATTTGCTTGTCCATACTTAACACTTCGTTTCCATAAGAGAAGATGATGGTCTCCTTGAGTGATTCCGCGTCCTCGTACCTCTAACCAATCATCCTTTTTCATCCTTTGGCGAGTAAGTGGCTCTATAGTGTCTTGTATTTGTAATGGTTTTTGTCCTCTGTATAGTATTGCAAATGGGCTTCTAGTTGTGGAAAAGTGTTGTGGATGAGGCAGGGCCCAATGTGTGACTTGGATCCTTTGACCCTTTCAGGGTCCACTTAGTGGATAGATGATGCTAGACCGCCGCCAGTAACGATGCTTCTAACACAGATAGCACTTGTAATCGTACCATAGTGGCATACTACGGCTCATCGAATATCACCTATAACAAACGACGGCCGATTATGAGTCAAATCCCACTGCTTACATCAGATGTGGTTGGCGACTGCGGCGTGGTACGACTTTCGGCTTAGCAGAAGGGGAAAATCAATCACATATTCTTTTCTTCGGACACTCACGGCGATATATTCCTAAGGGGCGGTACACATCTTGCTCTTGATTCTTGGTGGCTCTTGGTAGTTTTGTCCCCAGGGATGACGAATATATGAACTGGAAAGAAAATTTTTCTTCGCCTTGTACGGGCTTGAAGGGTTGTCAGATTTTTGTTTTTGTGTTATTTAACTGAGTACGACAGTATTCTGGAGACGGTTGATTATTAAGCGCTACTGGTTGCACTAACAGGAAAGGTGCTGACCTATTCACCAGCTGACGCTGATGACCGACGAACTCGCCTCAAGCATTATTGTGCGTGGAACATATATACCAAGCATATAGCGTCTGTCCTAATATATAGATGTTATCTTGTCTTATGGCTATATGACTTGTACTAGTTATAGTTCTTCCTTCTCATAGAGTTATCTGCATAACAACCCTGCTTGTCTTATTTGTAAAAAGACTATGCCGCCTACACTCCTAGGGCCGGTAGGGCTGACATTGCTTGTAACTGTCTAGGTCGTAATATATAGATACGGCTTGCTCTAAACAACTTAAAGACACTTAAAGCAACTATTATAAAGCTAGAATAGCTTTATATAGCTAGTACTAGTCAGCACTACTATATATATAGCGTACTACCTACATAGACTATATAAAAAGGGTATTTCTACTGCTTCTCTAGCTTATAAGTAGATTCTTAATAAAATAACTACTTTACTCTTAAATAACTAGACGCTGCGGTTTATTACAGCAACCAAACAGAGCAAGATTTTATGTACTGTATTATCGATCTTTCGGAATTGTAGAGTTCAGGGAGTCCTTTGTAAGTTGGTAGTCGTGCAAGGAACTGGATGATATCATGATATCTACTATGGTATGGCTACCTAACCACGCTTGACAATCTCAGACCCTCAGTATCACGAAGATGTGGGTAGGACAAGTTTGTTCGGTGATAGATTTAATATAAAAACGCAATTATAGGAACGAATTTCAATCGGTCTCGTCTCCACTGGCAAACTCCCCGTTCTTGAGCTTGATACTCAGGGCCTTGTTCTCCCTGATGAATTCTGCAAGGTCCTCGCGCTTCTCCAAAAGAAGATCAGCAACCAGGCGGCCAAAGACAACCCCACCAGCGGTGTTCAAGTGCGTGGAATCGCCCGGAGAGAGGTCGTACTTGTGTCCATTCTCGTTGCCGATGGCGTTGAGGTAGTTGGTGCTGGCAGTGTTGAGGTCGAGATATGTAGTACCCACGGCTTCAGCGGCAGCAATAGCTCCAAGACGCTCGGTCTCGAGGTTTTGAATCACCTTGCCGCCGCTGAAGGTACGGCGGGTAAGAGACGTGATTATAACCTTGGGAAGCAGTCAGCAATCATTCTCTTCAGTTCTACACAGTTGTGGAATCGACTCACAGGTATTCCGCCCGCAGCTGTAACCTCGGTTGCCAAGGTCTGAAGATTGGCCTGGAACTGCTCCGAGGAAATATTCGCTGCGGCCTTTTGGTCATTGTGCCCGAATTGAATCGTGACGATCGGGTTGAAGGCACCTTTGTTCGCATTGACTTCTGCAATCACTGAATCCCAGATCCCTTGGTCTCTGAACGATACTGTTGTTGCGCCGCTCTTGCCATAATTCTTCCCGTCGGCAGGCGACTCAACGAAAGTCAAAAATCCATCACCCCAGCCACCGTCAACAGCCACCGTTGAGTCACCGGTGAGGAGGAAGTAGGGAGGCTTCGTTTGACGAGTTTCCTGTGGACTAGCCAGGCTCAGGGGAACTGCGGAGGCGGATGTAACTGCCGCTGCCAGGATGTTCGCAATGCTCTGAAGTCTCATATTGTCGACTTGGTTTCAGAACGGATGTGGGACCACTGGGAAAATCATCACATATTCATCAGTTCAGTGGAAACGAGACGGTGCCTACCAACATTGGACGAAATCTGTTACACGGAGATGGGTTGAGTATCAAGCAATGTCTACGTCTGTCACAGATTCTCGTTTTGCCATGTCGCATCTCGGCATGGGCTATACCGAAAGAAGCGATTACGTCGCGATGCTCCCATACCAATTCCACCAATAACTCTCTCACCTCTATGGTTACGTCCGTGCTACTCCAAAAAGATTGTAAGGTTTCATTCCGATGCGGCACATACGCTGCGGATAAGAGATCTTCCCTCGGCCGATGTCATTTGCGAGTCGATGCGATGTCGGGAAACAGGAAAACGGGCAAGTCAAATTGCGGGGGAGGCCATGCCTGTCAATTGAAAGTTTCCGTCATTCGTCTGAATGGCCCATGTGACACGAGGACCTCATGGCCCTTCATAAGAGAGCCGCATTATCGCGATTCACCAGCACCAATGCCAGGTATTTGACACAGAATATTTCCTGCCCGTTGCATGTACCTTGGTCTTATGACTCTCTCCTCGCAAAGCTTCATTTAAAGAAGGATGTCTGATTCAGTTTCCCACGTCAATTGACATTGATGCCTATTTCCAGCCAGAGGTTACACACCTTGGGGACCAAGCAAAGAGCCACAGAGTATTGCGGGTGCATATAAGCGTGCTTCTCATGTGCTCAGATGGATGTCGAATTTCACTGGAAGTAGGTGAAAATGTAGAAGGCAAAATAAAACCATCACCTAATACTGGAATTATTTTCCTAATGGCACTCAGATGAGTGTTTGGTCTTTTTTTCACCATTTACAAGCCACTGATAACTAGTTGATTGAACGCAAAGGCAAAAGATAATATTGCGACAGTGGCGTGAAGACTTGGTGGGTTGGTTGGCTTTTGTGTATGGGGTGTAAGATTGATGGAGAGAGGAAGAGCTCAGAGCTCAGCGCCCGTCTTGTGCATAGCCGGCTAGGGCCAGTAATGTTGGGGGAGAGTGAAGTTACCATAGTCAAAAGTGAAGCCTGATTCGGCAATTGCTCTGCGTTATCGGGTGTTCTCTACGGTATAAAGAAATTGAAGAGATCGACAAGTGGCACAGGTAGAAGTCAACTTCATAAACTCGGCATCCCTCGGTGAAACTCTACTGATTGTCTGGATGAACAGCATCGTCTAGTGAAAAGAGTGTAAAGTAGTTGTCTGATCTAGAAACTGTGTACAGAGTATGCCGGGTAGAAATCTCCATGTGAAGTGACCTGTATGTGTGATGAGCCACATCTGTGGCGGTCGCAACTTGTACAGCCACATGAAGCTAGTCCCAACTTCACGACATTGTCATACCTGCAGGCTGCCAAATCAAGTAACCCGATGACGATTTGATGCGCGATTTGCTTTTGTGCCGGGCTTACTGTGACCCAAAAGCCGAGATGGTTCATTGGAGTCTTCATGTGTAAGCCATGCAACACATGGCTTAGAGCTTTTGTTCCAGCTTGCTTCCTTCCATGCACTTAGGCCCAAGCAGCCGTCACAGACAGTATCGGAGTTCTTCTCGTTGATAGAGAACTCTCTAGCAATCGCAATGGAATTCTTCTTATTTTCCAAGCTTCCACTCGAACTACGTATTCACATCTGGAAAATGACAAGAGAGCCTCGAATGCTCAAGGTGGAGGCCCGAGTTGAACTCAACAAACATCGCCGTCACCCGCTAGACTACACGCTGTTCTGCTGTACCTCACCCAACCCCGTCCCCGCTGTGCTACAAACATGCCGCGAGTCGCGAAACCTTGGACTGTACGAGAGATCATTCACAAGTGGCCTCACACCGCGATACGTATGGGTCAATTTCCAGCTTGATACCATTCAAGCCACATACTGGGTCCTCAAGTTGTTGAAAATTGAGAAAGAAAGAATTCGCCACCTTGGTATCGAATTTGAAGACGTTGAGGCTTTGCTACGTCGCTATCGAGAAGCCGTTGCAGGACTTCGGGTCGTGAAGACAATGGAGCTTTTTACGCAGGAGCCTCTGCCCGAACGTGCTGATATCATCGAGTGGACCCGAGACGCAATGCGACAGGTCTCTGAAAAGGAGAATTCTCAGTTTCCCCGTATCACATTGGTTCATAGGCCTACGGGAAACAAAATGAACTAGGGAGAACCACGTCACAGAGCAAGATGTCGAGATATCAAGAGAAGCTTGTTATATAGCACTATGATTGAATCACGTCCTAGTCCTCGCGGTAGCTAGTGTCATGGTCGGACAGGCCAAAAGGGTCCTTTTCCGGTGATGATGACCGGAGGGGTTCTCTCAAAGATCCTTTCCCATCGCTGGCCGAGGAAGTCAGGAGAATTTATTTATCTTAGAATTAAATAAGTAACAGTTTAGATATCCGAAAGAATAAAAGGCATGGAGAGATTTTCGCTCATCCAATATCTTCGAATTACAAAACCTTTCCTTAAGATAACTTACCGTTAAACGTAATTACACAAGAACCATGGAAACTATATCTCACCTCCTCCCCTGAAAGATGTGTTCATCATAATGAGAACCTCTGATCAGTGGCACTTTTAAGGCATGAGATGAGGCATCTCATGTTGCTTTGGCAAGGTGGTACGTAGTACGCTATACACCGCACCGCTGGAGTCTCCATTTTACCCTGCACCACTTTCAACAGTCACAGTTCAGGGACAGGAGGCTTGGGATCGGATAGACAAGATTAACCAGCTCTGGCAAAGTCTTTCGGTAACGCACAGAACATGGGCTTTTTCGGAAACAAGGGGTTTGCTTTTTCCCAGGACTGGACGAAGTGGAGAGAGGCTTGGGTTTGTAGCCGTCAACTTCGCGTTTGGGGTCCGTCTTTCAATACGATACCGCTCGTATTCCAGCTTCTGTCACCTTGAAGTGGATCGCATGTCCTCTTGAATCTATATACCCGCAAGGGACTGACGGACACAGCCCGACTCAGTGATGATGACCCTCGTCAACTGCTTCCGGTGGAAAAGGCTCTTCAGCCCCCTCGAGAGTGGGGTCCCATGATGGGTTGGCACCAGCGTCACGCCAACGCACGGATCTTGGGCCATTCTTGTTCCAGTCCAGAATCGCATCAAAGTCTCTGCATGTGTGCATAGAAGACCAGCTGGGTAAAGCATCGCGCCGCAGAGGGTTGTCGAGGGGGTCCACAAAGAGAGCCGGGGTAACATCTGCTTGGCATTGCAGGTTCATCCTTAGCATGTCTATGCAGTGATCTGCATCGGAGACAGGAAGAGTTAGTAGATGTTTGAGAGGTAAGCCTCGGATCGAGAATCGTGTGAATTTTCGCCAGTAAAGACTTTGCTCTTACCAAAGTGGGAATATATGTTTTCATCAGGGACGCCCTCGTCCAAGAACTTGTAATGATCGTAGTTGTAGAACAGTCCCATTCTCAAAGAGTTCTGCTGTGGTGTTAGCTGCCATAAAAACTTGAACTTCCGGAGAGATTGTCTAACCAGACAATGAAGCAGATGGAAAACCTCCAGCATAGCCAAGTACCCGCCGCCTTGTTCTTCGGGGATTTCATGGAATGGCATCTCAGGCGAGTCAGTCATATTGAGTAACTTGACTTCTTCCTTGGTGACCCGAATGCCACCCGCCCCTAACTCGATCTCGTGCCATGCAATGTCGACCTCGTTGGAATGTGTTCCAGGAGGGCCGCGCCATTTGTTCGTCTGCCTGAACTCGGCATTGTAATGATCTGGCGCTTTGTACTTGACGGCCTCAAAAGCGGGCGCTATGGGTCGTTAAGGGATGCCATATGCTAAAGACATCTGTCCATACTTACATATTGTCGAAAACTCCCGTGTACACAGCTCTGCTATTTCATCCTTTGAATGTGTAGCATTAATGACAAGAAAGAGAGCAACAAGCGTGATAACGTTGGTGAACCCTAGCGCAACAGTTGATCGCGAGAATAGGTGGTTGAAGCTCCTTGCCGATTGAGAATTAATCTCTCCTCCCATTCCTTCTGACTGAGGGAGGCTGTCATAGTCTCGTCGCAGTTTCAACCACATTGTGCCAATGCAGCGCTCAGTATGGTTCCTGGCGAATGCCCTAGACGCTGCTTGCACCTCAATAAACGACTTGATCAAGTTGGAATAACGACAATGTGCCCCAAGTTAAGAGCATGTTGAAATTCAACAAGCTTGCCTCGAACAAATTACATATTTGATTGGGGTCGCGAGCTGTTAGTTAGCCCTATTATCACATTCTAAAGAACAGTAAAGACTCTCGCCAGATTTCCTTGCCATTTCGCGATCCTGCAGGATCCTTCAGGATTCGAGCTGCTTGTTGCGGTCTAGTTTTCGCGTGGGGGCCTGATACAAAAGTTCTCATGATAATGCATGTGGACCGCCGCCTTAAGAATATTGCAGATACGGCGGGCCACTAATGAGGGTCAAACTTTTGCCTATCTGGACTGAGTACATACGTTTGTGGAATTCCGAGACAGAAAGGAGCGCAACCCCGCCATCGTAGGATCGGAGTCCCGGTCAGTGTCAAACGTGCGAAAGGCAAATGATTCAGTCCAATGTGTCTGGTTGGCTATTCTAAGTCTAAACAGCCTGTAACAGAGTTTAAGCAAAGGCGACCTTCCGTTCTTGGTCTGACAGACACGAGGCGTGGCAATTATCTCATACAAAAGTCCCAAACTGGCTGGTCCAGCTTGTCTTCAAGTCAGGGGAGTGCGATAAGGCGCCGTCATTGCGACTGAATGCAGTAGAAGGGCAGAGTAAGGCCTATAACCAAGATAACGATTCAATCCCCGGGTTAAACAAAGTTATAAGAGGGGCGCGGATCGTGCACCATATATCTTGGTCAACTACTTTTGTTCATTTCTCACATTTTTGTAGTCAACAAACAAGAGCGACACCATGCAGATCTCCATCGTCACTCTTCTTGCTTTGCAGGCCATCGGCATCATCGCCGCCCCTGTTGCTGCTCCTGCGGCCGACTATGCCGACGTTGCCATTTCCAACATTAAAATCAAGTCTGCTGGAACTTACAAGCGCGACGAGAAGAAGAGAGATGTAGAGTATGCCGACGCGGCAAAGGCCAACATTATAATCAAGTCTGCCGGAACCTACAAGCGTGGCGAAGAGGTCAGTATATGACAAATCTCACGACTTAGACAAAGTGACCATGAGCTGACGGGACAATGCAGTACGCTGAACTTGCAAAGGATTCCATCAAGATCAAGTCCGTCACCACATACTAAAGTTAACGGGTGGCCCGTCCTCATAGTTCCCCTCCCCTCCCGGTCTGCTAGCTCTTGTATAAGGCTGTGCTCCGGATAGATATATGGTGCTCATGTTGGATCAAGACGTCAAGCAACGGGATTTCGGAAATAAAATGATTCAAAGAATTACTGTGACTTGATATATTCATTCCGTGGCTGTGACTTGTCATGTGTGGAGCCTGGCCAGATGAAAGATGCCGTTGGACGAAGAGTGTTGACATCTTTCTTGTGCGGCGTCCCCCAGCCTTCCTCATAGCGTCGGCTCCTGCGACTTGGCATTAGATTAAGTTGCAGTCGCACTAATTATAATTACGAAGCCAAGCTCTTGGCCACTTTCAGTTATCAAACATGGGCGCAGTGAAGTTCCTGTTATTCGGTTGAGAATCGAGCTTGATGGACAACAGCGGCACAGCAAATTTTCCATTCTCAAATTAACCTACTGTAATATTTACCAGTGAATTCAGTGAGATTTCATTACCATCCACTGAAGATTGGGTCATACCCCGTGCTGATTGACAGGTTGCCAGAGAAGACTCACCAAGCTCAGGTATGTTGCGCTTGCGTTGAACTACATCTCACCGCATTGCAAAGACTTTCACGACATAGATCTAACTTGCTCTTCTCAAAGCTTCCAAACTCAACAGATTCCGTAACTCTGAGCAAGTTTTCAGAGCCCTTAGTTCCTCCATTTCCTGCGGGTCTATATGGATCTCCCGAACTTCATGGCGATAAGACCCTCCGTCTTAATGCAGACGCCACGGCAAGCACTCGGCGATATTCGACGGTGCTCCTTAGTCCAAGGTAGGAAAGAATGCATGGGCCATCAATGGTATTAGTGAGTGCACTTGCCCAGGAGATATATGCGTTGCCGGCAGTTGGCCAGACATCACAAGGTCAACGGATACAACTGTCTGAAAAGTCAGCATCATGACAGTCTACTGAGGTGGGGCTTACTCGAATTCATACACACATCTGTTGCATCAGATTTTCAGCGCAGTGATGTTGTTGGTCCGGTCGCAAAGAGGAAAACTGCAGTTTTCGGCCTGATTTTCCCAAACATCGCTTGAACCGCCAGTACTGTTTGTGGAGCGTGATAATGACCCAAACAGCAAGAATTTACAGTTGATCAGTCTTAACTTTTGCAACACATTCGGATAGGCGACTGACGCTTATCATGTCGCAAAGAGCTTGAGTTGCCAAACTTGGAAGCCTTGGTACGATGATGTCAGACTGCTTGATGCGTACGTTGATAGATGAGAGCATTTGGAATGTCAGGTGTTCCTTGAGCTTAGCAAGCCTCGGTGTTGCTGGAAGCTTTGATGAGATAGGTTTGCAGACTGGGATGATCCATTTGTTCGTTTTCTTCCCAAACGAGTCATCCATTTGCCTTTCTCGCGACGCTGTTTAGCTAAGCTAAACATGGAACAAGCATGATTCACTCGGCCGATCTAAATCGTGGCGTAGGTGGTTAGCGCCCTAAAATGCTTTCCAAGATCCAAGCCGGCCACCAGATGCTCAGGCTGGCGAAGTGCCTTTGGCATGCATGGCATGAAAACGCAGGCTTGCCAACCGTGGGCCATGCCAAGGCGCAGATCGTACAGGATGGCGGTTCGGGTTTCACCGTGATGCTATTCAAGGCCAGTTCCATTGCAAACTGCCAGTCGAAAGCTATTTCTCTCCAACAGTCATATGTATTACAAGCTTAGCTTGCTTGTACTACAAGCAAATGCTGTCTTAGTTCTTGCTTACACTACTTCAAAGACTTGATCATTCCAACACATTCGCCTTCACTGCTTTATTGACTTCGCAATGACAGTGACCAGACAAAACAGGTTTAGCAGACGTTTCCTGTCATTGCTGGCCTTGGCACCCTAACCCCAAAGGAGATTGGCACACAAAGGCAGTCTTTCTTTATTTTTTCCAATTTGTTTCTGTCCCCCCCCTGCTCCATTGCCCTAGGTACTGCCTGGGTCATCTCGGCTCAGCACAGGATATGATCCGTTTGTGCGACTCAATAACGTGGTTGCGCTGACTAGGCTCAGCTGCAAGCCATGGCTGATAGCCAACGAAGCTTTAAGCAAGTCGGAAAGCACCCAGTCGTTGTACAACCTATCGTTGACATGAGCAATTGCTCGCTTTATTTTGTCTTTGCCGTAAAATCGGTACCTAATCCCTGCTCCTGCATTCGCTTCCAATCACGCGCATTGAGACAAGGGAAGGTTGGCATTGCCTCCCCGGCTCTGGTTGGCCCTCCGCATTCTTTGGCATCGGTAACCGTTCCAGTTGAGGCAAACGGCCATCAAAAGATGATGGCTAACGAAACACTCTCGGAGTGGGACTTCCATTTGCAGACTGAGGCAAATCTTACAGCTTTCTTTTTTGTCTATGGCAAATGGCTTTACTGGGATCCTCTTTGACAATGGAAGCCAAGCATGGCGGTTGATTGGACGGGATACGCGGTCAGGATGTAAGCCGCTGTCAGCCGCTTGGCGATATACTTAAGAGAAGGTTGCCCACGAGAGAGGGTAAACTGTACAGCCCGCTTCAGCATCCTCCTCTCAGTCCTTTAGCTCACCATCATCATCATGCTGCCAATCATTCTCGCGACCTTTGCCGGCCTGGCTGCGGCCCAATCCACGCCGTGGCCCAAGTTCGGCAACTGGACGGAAGCCGTCAACGGCTACGACTACATCCTATCAGGGCCCGCAACCCTGGGCAAGAAGACCGATTTTGAACTGGAACGCTGCCAGTATGTCTGGAAGGACCTCAACAAACGCATGAATGCGACCGATTATTCCCTACCGCCACCGTACCCAGCCGAGCGCTGCATGGACCGGCTCTTCGAGCGCAAGTCCGCCATCGGCGACGGGGGCTTTCTCGACATCTTCGCCAAGGACATTGAGGAAGCCAGGAGGTTCTGGTCCGACGTGAACGACAACTCGACGCTCGAAGACCCGGCCACATGGAAGGCTGTCGAATGCCGCGCCCTCGTCCACCTCCCCAACGTCACGGCCTGGGCCTTCTCGGCGTGGTCCGCCTCGCCCTTCGCCGACGCCGCCAACAACCGCGGAAACGCGGAGCACTACTTCAAGTACTCGGACCACAGCGGCGCCCTGGGCACGTCTCACATCCTTGAGGGCTGGGGCGGCGTCATCACGAACTTCAGCATCCCAAACTACAGCCCACAGACTTGCGCCGAGCGGCCTATGGTCCGCCCGCTGCCCGAGTTCGCCATCAAGGCCTGTGGCGACAAGAATCTGGTCGACGAGCAGAGCACTACCTTTGGTATCCTCAACATTGCTGCCCGGGATGTGCTCGGGTGCGACGGCAAGAAGAGCGTCGACATCTACGCGTCGATCTGGTACGGGAACGGCATCTCGGAGGAGCATCTCGAGGCGGAGCGCCAGCACGTCATCATCGAGATTGTCAACATGAGTCAAAAGGCCCAGGAGGACATTGAGAGCGGCAGATTTGCAGTTCCTCCGCCCCCGACCTCTTGAGCTCCTTGGACAAGGGACATTCTTTTATAACAGTAATATCACATTCAGCCAACCTGACACATGGTTATGGTTGTTTTATTCTTTGCTTGAAAATCTTTTCCACACCTGTAATGGACTTCGTTTTGCCCGTACCAATCAATCACGAAGCAGTCGCGAAATACTCATTTATATTGGCCGACAGTGTCGCGCAGAATGTCCGGTGTTTCTGTCCTTTCCAGAGCAGTTTCGACCCGATACCTATTCAGTAACGCCCGAGACACCAGTTGCCCGAGTTGTAGAGCACCTGCTCTTCCAGCTCAGCTATATCGTAGCAAAGGACGGCACAAGAGTCCAATGGAAAATCAAATACGATTCTTCTTCCCAGCGTATCGCCTGGTATGACGAGGATGGCACTTGGCACGGCCCCGAGAAACACTCCATGGGTCGTTAGGCAAGGCCTACGTGAACCAGGAGCTCACGTATGCCCTGACCCTTTACTCCGTCATGATACACTACCCCAAGATCTTCCGGGAGTGGCAGGGGAACAGGCAGCAAAACGCCAAGCGTCTGCCGACGAATGTGGAGCATTTCGTGTAAGGCTACTCCCACGAAGACCAGTGCCAAGCGTAGTTCTTGGTGCAATTCTTCTTTCATCGCCGAGGAGGGCAGTTCAAGCGGCCGACCTGACAGACGCACTCCACCACCACCACGCCGGCCTGGGCCGAATAGAATCCAATGTGGCATGACGAACGGCCCTTGGAAGTTCTCGAACTCATTCTGTCACTTCAAAACCGACATCCAGGCAGTTGATCAACCTTGCCAAGTTGCTCACCGACGAGATGAAATACAGCGGTGAGATGTATGATGTATTCGACCTCAAGTTGAACATCTTCCGCCATACCTGCAGCAAGGCAGGTATCGAAGAGCACCAATTGGCCCCTATCTTTTCGATTATGCTACGCGCCCAGGCCGTCACCTTCTACTTCAGCCGCGTATGTGGCAGCAGCATTCGAGACTTTGTGGAAATAGTTCAACCCGTACGAAGCCACTTTGAAATTCAAGAAAGCACCCAGACGTACCTCACCGAGTGACCTTTCTCTCATGAGGACGTTGGCTCCCAGCTTCGCACGCGGCTCTAAAATCCGAGGCTATAACAGCAACCTACCTACATCCAAGTGGCGGATACCACTGGACTACACGGTCAGCTGCCATATTTACAAGAGTTGACCGCCTATGCGTTTATCTAGACCAGGGTAATCATCCAGGTCAGCCATCGAGCTTCAGCCTATTTCCCGACCCTGTGCCAACCTCACAATGACCGACACACTGTGTTGCTGCCAGGCACTTGGTTCCACAACTATCAGTGGAAGAGAAAGGAAGGAACTGAGGATTGCCTTTAGTTGCTAATCGGCGTTGAGGTTTATGGTTATCGACTCAACTACCTCCTTTAGCAACGCCTGCTTCTTGCTCGACATTTCAACGAAACTCACATGGGAAAGCCTTCGCCTCTGCCTGATTGACATATAAATAGTCAAAGATCATCATACCCGATCTTCGCAGATGCTAGCCTCAATTCCACCGAGACTGAGATCAGCGGCCAAGCCCAAGCAATGACATTGGTGCCCCACGGCCCCTTACCTTCAGTCAGTCTCTGCATAGCCTTGTGATGGATCTTCATTCATCATGATCTTCACCGTCACCACCACCAATATAGCACTATTGCTGCTGCTTCGTCTCACATCAGAACCCAGCGCCTTCCGAACAGTCGGCATCTACGTCTTAATATCATACCTGAAAAAACAGGACTATGCACTCAAACGCAGTGTCAGAGTAACCAAAGAATGTGTCGTCTCCTCGTACAATGAGGGATCGCAACTACATTGTCATTATCAAGCCCAATCGGTTGTTGTCAGGGTTGATAGGGAGACCCTTTATCTTTTTTTCGTCGACCCTCCGCTTTCCGTTCGGCTTCACAATCCTTCGTCATCATTTCTACAGATAGAAACGTCGGAATCATAGTGCTTGGCAGTGAATCCGAAAGGATGCTGGTACAGGACTGAGCCAAGCATCTCATGACAGTTAGTTGGCGAACAATGAGCGAGCAGTTGACGAAAACTCACCTCTTCTTCTCAACCATGCAGGCTACATACTACGCAACGTTTATGCCCTAGCAGCAAGTCAACCGCGAAGGTTGCGATGCAGCTGGCTAAGACAATCGGTGCAAGACGCGGCATTGAGATTGTGAAAGCCCTCGACCTCGTCGTAGGAGAACTTGATGACGTTGGAGACGCAAATGATAACTTCTTGGTACTAACGGCCTTTTCCTACTGGGCCTACGTTCGGCACCCACAAATCACCATAGAAGATTTCGTCGGCAAATCCAAGGTGAAGTCCCACTAGGTTCCTCGCATGGAGCGAGCCGGACCGGGAAAAAGAGTTCGTGTGCTTGCAATCAGAGACGACCCGAAATAATCGACAGACTCTGCAAGAATTTGCGAGAGAAGTTGCAGAATACAAACCCACATACACAGTCGTGGTTCATGTACCGGTCGCCCCTTCGGCCCCTTCGTCCGCCATTGGTCGCGCTTCCGAGCTTTGGGGCGTGGCCCAAGAGACTTGGAATGACTTCATCATTTCCGATTTATGGAGCTTGTGGATTAGCTTGATGAGCTTAGTCGCTGGCGCACTCAGCAGGTCCTGGTGGTCGTCCTTAAAGCGGTGCCAATGGGCATAGATCTCCTCGCCGACGGCGGCGACTTCAGAAGGTTCTTCGACTCTGTTTTAGGAGAAAGCGACGTCGTGGGCCTTTCTGTCAACAACACTCGCGCATGGGTAGAGGCATTGGCGGAAAAGAACTCATATGATGCCGGCCCTTGTTTGCGTTTCTTCTGCTTGGACCAAGATCGCCAAGTACGTCGCTGACCCTTCGCTGGGCATGTCCCGAGTCTCGGAGTCAACAAGGATCAGGTCTTGATCCAGGAGCTTGCCTCCAACCGCGAGCATTTCGGACTCATGAGCCCCTGATAGCCTTGAGCCAGGCACCGATCATGATGCGGCGAATGCGAGGTTCGCCCGGGTCGTCTCTGATTGCAAGCACACGAACTCTTTTTCCCGGTCCGGCTCGCAGTCTGGCGACCGAACTCCGCTTCATGTTCGTTTTCATATCTTGAAACTCAAAAACGACCAGTGAATCGTAGTCTAAAAGGTCCAGGCTCAGGTATGTCTAACGGGCTTCCGTCGAGGAGTTGTGACGCGCGGGATCTTGCCTCTGGAGCTGCCAAAAGCTCACCTCTGACCCCGGCTCTACGGGTCAATATCTCGGGACAAGGCCGCGCGCGCCGTGGCCCCCCACCACTTACCCCCCCCCGTCTGGGCCAAAGAGGAGGACAGCTTTATTAACATCACCGAGTACACTGGCGATACTACAGCGCGTCACACCGGGTCATGAACGAATTTGCCTGCTGGTCTTGCGCAAATCACTTGGCCAAGGACCCCAAGATGCGCCGATGCAATGAGAACTACTTTCTCTATTCGTTTCTGGAGTCATTGTTTCTCTAATACAGACTCCCGCTCCCTTCATGGCCCTCTACTAGGCCATGTACGGCGTCGACGCCACCCACGAGAGGCTTAAGCATCTCCATCACTAGACTCTGATCCTGCCCTGGGTCGACCCGAAGAAGCTGAGTGAGGTGCACCGGTGTGCCAAGGAGGCGGGATACCAACATTCTTGCCAAGGCGACCTCCAGGCGCACGAGCGTTCTTACCAGGAGCCACAGTAAGCTTCTGATAGTTGGTAGGACCGTTATCGTCGCTGTCGCCGTCATAGCCCGAGGATCCAGAATCTTCGTTGTGATAGGTGCATCGGGCACCGTGCGACATAAGACACGATCGGCACAAGCGCCGCTACTCGCCAGCAAGGACAAAATCGACAGACTCTGCAACAGTCTGCGAGAGAAGTTGCAGAATACAAACTCACATACACGGGTAACAAACCGCGATGTGAAGATGTACGAGCGTAACTTCAAGGCTTGTGTGCCCCGGGACATGGACGGCCGCGTCGATTACCTCGACGAACGGAACACAACCCTGGGGCGTCGGCGTGAGTATGTAAAGACATGGACTGTTGTTATGATGCCGTACGTAGTCAACATCGGCCATTGTTGGTTTCTGTGTGAAACCAACACTGATCAGTGGACCGTGGTTAACTTCACAGTTACCACTATTGCAAGATACCGCAGATCAGCAAGGTCACTATCACGGGCAGGGAGGTCGCCGGCAACCAAGCCCGCGAACTGTTAACCAGTCGAGTAACGCCGGCTCTGTTGAGCCCGCAAGAAAACCACCGACGTCCGTTACGTCAAGAGTCACGATCACGATCTCACAGTGACATCCCAGTTGCGCTGCTTACCGTACTCGAGGAAGTTCTTGGGATGGAGCAGATACACCGGCACACCTGCTTCCATTGCTCTGCAGGACCGCTGACGTCTCTGAGAATGCTCCGCACTGGAATCGCGCGGCTTCTAGCCGTTGGCCTGCTGTTGTGCGACGGCCATGTGTGGCGTAGTGTGGCATTTGTAGAAGGGCAGATTCCCCTTATAAATGCCTCCTCTTCCTCTCCCTTTTCCCTCCTTTTCCTCTTTTTCTTGTCGTGCCCACGTCGAACAATTCAACTTGCAACGTACGTCAACAACTTCCTGCTTCGCACTAGCAGGTCCTTCAATTTCATCAACAACAATACCCCATCCCTTCGGATTATCATCAAGCACTCAGAGAAGCTGAGCCAGGCAATTGGTCAAGTACCTATTATTAGTGAAGGAAATCGCTGCTATTAAGCCGAACCAAAAATTATATCTAGGTACAAAGAATAACCCACGGCATAAACACCACTAGACGCCGGGTTGTCTTCAAAAGACCGACGGAGATGAAATGGACTTGTCGTGAAGCTGGAATAGCTTCGTGTGGCTAGTACCAGTGGATAAGACTCTTTCTTTCCAAAGCAAGAAGCTTCGTGAACGGATCGACATTTTTTACCAAACGTCAACGCTTCAGTAACAGAACGGCGACCCCAATGGACACAACGATTCCTCGTCGTCCAGCGTACCCGTCTGGCTGGGCAAACCTCGATATACGAAATTGCCCCCGTGAATCCTTCGTTGACCAGCGTGTTGACCGCTGGAAGTGGATGGAAGCAAATACGCCTAGTCATGTTTATCATTACAGCTTTTCCCATCCTCCTTCGTGGGAGGGATGGTTTCGCTTGAGGCCCTCAAGACGACTGGTCTGCCTGATCCGAATATCCCTGCTTTTGGTGGGCCGGAGTATCAGCCCGAGGGGAAGCTGTCGAGAAGCACGACGAAGACGAAGGATTTGAGCCCGAGGTCGAACCCATTCAATAGTCGGCACTGTTTACTGGAATCCCGGTTGGACAAGACACAGAAGGCTTGGGGACGGAACTTAGCAACAGCCAAACGCAATACGCGGCTGGCCGCATTACCAGTGGAGCGTTGACGCGGACTTCAGCTACTATATCTGCCTCTTCATGAGATGGGACTTCAGAGCAAAGGAGGCCATCAGGAAGATGGAAAAGTTCTATTCCGAGACGGTCGGCCCGATGGGCAACAACCTACCTTCCCCTTGCTCACTTCCAGCAGGGGGAATCATTGGTGTCTCCCCCCTTCCTGGCATATTGTACGGATTGGGTTTTGGCTGGCTGTGTTGCACGATTCAACCTGGGGAGAAACGAAGCCTGAGACCGACAGTCTCGAGCACCTATCGGAGTACGACACCCTACTCTTGCAGTGGGATGTGCTGAGGATGTGGCGACTGGCTGATGTTGTTGAGCCTAACATGTTGATAGCGACGAGGTTGAAGCGATTGCGCATACTTTCAACATGACCGCGCGCACTCAAAGATCCACTACAGTAAGGATTGCTGCAGCTGAGCGGATCTAAAAGGATGCATGAAATTTTGAAATGCCAGGAAACCTTGCGCTTATCCCTGATTCGCGCGCCGGTGCGACGAGCATCATCCCAACACCGAATTCGAAGAGCAGAGGAACCGCCACCCATTAATATTGTGCCGCCGATATCGCGATTATTTCACTGACAAGCTTGCAAAGGAGAAAGAGTCCCTCCTGACAGACTCCCGACGGGCAATACAGTTGTATTGCCTCTGTTGGTTTTCACTTGAGGGATATCCCGTACACTATTGATAGCATGAGTGAGATCGTGTCAATTGTATACGGGATATCCCTCAAGTGAAAACCAACACTGATCAGTGAATTACATTCACTAGTCACCACTATCCAACAGATCAGCAAGGTTCAACTCGAGCAGAGAAATCGCCAGCCCATTGGCTCACGATTTGCTAACCAACCGAGTATCGTCAGCCCTTGAGCTCACGAGAAAAGTACGGCGTCCATCACGTCGAAGAAAATCATCATCACCAACACTCCTCATCTCCTTCACCTTCACCTTCTTTACTCCATTACTCACACGCGACGATGAGTAATTCTAACGGCAAGGAGCCGATGCCGGCGGCGGCAGGCTCAACAACCACAACAATTGACACGATCTCACTCGTGCTATCAATAGTATACGGGATATCCCTCAAGTGAAAAGCAACAGCCTCATTCGTTGCTGTTGTGTTCTATCCCACATGCTTCGATCAGGACAAGCTGTACACCGATCAATGAGGAATCCTGTGTTGCTTGTGCAGGTTGTGGTGTTTCTTCTCTTAGATCGCCGCACCGCATAAGTCCATAACTACCCTACACACTTTCAGTGTCTTGCTGGAGGGTATTTGCCAGGTTATCAAAGCGAATGGATAGCTGATCCATATCAGCGAGGCAGAGCAAGAAAGGCATGATCTTTTGGTTGTGAATTCAATATCACAATGCGTAGGCAAGCAAAATTGTCAGACTGCAGAATGTGACAATCAAGAGCCGGGCTTTCCAGTGATGGAGGTGATGATAGCTATTAGTATTCGTAGAGTTGGATATGGTATCATATTTTACAACTGGCTGTGATCCTATCAATACCTATCTTGAAGGTGAAATGACTTTACCGCTAGACGAGTCATGTAAGTGATCACGTGACTGAGTATATGCCGCCCCTCCTATATCCCAACAATCATTGATGTCTTTGGCAGTGATAATGATGGTAACACTGGCAGTCGTCTTTGTCCCCAGCTTCCGGAGGACAGGAGATCGTGCAACTCCAATCTGTCGCCCAATGCGTGCCGACACCATCATGCTGTGCCCATACTACGTAGACGGGTACGATGATCGATCCTGGGGGCCCGCTGCCGCCCATTTCCCCTTCCCACATGTGCGGAGATGAGCGACGGGAAGAAGTCAGGGGGGCAGTCCAGAATATAAATTCTACAGTTTCGTGGGCTGTCGACTCAGCCACCGAACCAGAAGAACTGCCGACAGTCGGCCCTTTCGGGGCCGCTCGTGCCCGTCTGTCCGTCCGTCCCATGGTGCCGCGGCCCGTGATGGACGCGCATTGCATTAGTGTAGACTCATAAGGCTTCGTTTGGCGATGGGGTACGCCCCCGCGGCCTCGGAGTCTTTCGTCGCGCCCGCGATGGCCCCCCCCACCGTTGCTATATTCCTTCCAATGTGTATAAAAGTTTCATATTTAATCCGCGTGTCATGCCTTCTCCCTACCGCAGCACTACCGGCTACCGCTAGTGCCAGTGGTAGGGTTAATAGCCTCGTTACCTAATTATAAGACTAGCGGCCAAGGTTTGATATATTGCTGCAGTGGCATTTGTCATTTGGATCGGCGCCGTCCAACGCAAACTTTGTTCGCTCGTGAACCCCACGAAAGGGGAGGGGCTTGGGGGAGGCCTCGAGCAGACAACACTGCAAGCCCGTGGATCAGACGGGCGGCCTTCGTCGGCGTGTCGCTGCACTGCCTGCGATTGCGAGGGGAGATTGCAGCTCGAGGATGCTGCCATGCAAATGCAATGCAACGCTTTCGGGTTATCGAGGGTGGCGTTTCAGGCTGCTGGCCTTGGACACGAGCGCCGAAACCACTCACTTGTTGCGTGAACCCGGGATTCAGGCCAGGCTGATAGAATAGAGTTTTCTTTCCCCCACCCCCAGAAGAGAGAAAGAAGACAACCGGCGAGAGGAAGCGAATCGCCAACGCTGCCAGCGCGGCAACGACGCGTGAAACACGCAGGGTATGATGGAGAGTTTGTTGACAGTTGGCGAACACGCACCATCACGCCACTGGCTAAAAGTCACAAGAGGAAAAGAAGACCAGTCTTTGCTGCCGCGCTGCGTTACTAAACCGGTCAGCTCTTCAAGGTTCCGTCGCGTAACTCTCGCTCAGGCGCTCCGTCCAATCGCCCGCGGTTCTCGGCAGCCTCGAAAGGCGAGCCGGTGAGACTGGGTAGTGAAGCTCCTTTCGAGGTCACGTCCAGAGACGGGAGGGTTGCGTGGCCGTTGATGCTTCTCTCTCTCTCTCTCTCTCTCTCTCTCTCTCTCTCTCTCTCTCTCTCTCTCTCCCCCACTCTCTCTCTGTCCCTCTCTCCCCGCGCGCCAAGGCAAACCCCAATCCATTCTACCTGGTGTGATATCGATGTTGCCCTTTGCCAAGTTCCATGACCCGCAACACGTCCAAAATGTCAAGCGCCTTCCGGGCGGCCCGAATGCAAGCAATCACTGATCCCGTGGAAGGCTACCAACAGGCTTTGCCCATCCAAGAATAGTGGATGGGGGAAGAGTGAAGGTGTAATAGGTATGCAGTGTGCTTCGTACGTCTGATCGTTCGGCCAAGAGGGGGAAAGGGGTCAACAATGCGACCATGACATGGACGCGCTGTTTTCGGACCTGCACGAATGACCATCACAATAAGGGGGTGAAGGGGACCAATCCAGAGCCCAATCGACCTGCCATCAGACCAAACCTTTGGTTTCGGCGTCCCGGGCATCCCATTCTCCCCCCTTGATCGTTTGCTGGGAATCCCTGACATCGGCGGCCGCCAGAGCCCCAACGCCGAGTCATTCGACCGTGGGTTCCGGCCCCATTAGACCCAGAAAAGCAATCACTTTGCTTCGTCAACTCCGGGGCTGTGATGAACTCTGTTATGGTGCCGGGTAGGGACCGGGGAGGGAGGCGAACGAACCCTGTAAGGCGCGGACCTCCTCTACCCCCCCGTGCGACATGCCGGGTTATTTAAGATGGTCGTCCAGTCGCCAAGATCGTAGGAGGAGAGGTTTTTGTTTGTTAGCCTCGAGCTGAACATAATTCCAACTTCACCACATTCTTTACCGGTTTTTTTTTTTTCTCAACAGGAAAAAAACAAGACCGAAAACCCCCAAATGTCGTTCCTTAAACTGTCGCTCGCGGCCCTCCTGGCTGCCGGCGCTTCGGCCGCGCCCGTCGACGAACCGTACCCGCCGAGCGGCACGGCCGGCGGCATGGTGGCCTCGAGCTACTTCGCCGGCTTCCACGCCGACGAAGGGTTCCCCGTGTCCAGCATCCCGTGGGAGAAGTACACCGACGTCAAGTACGCCTTCGCCGAGACGAACCCCGACGGCACCCTGAACCTGTCCAAGGCCGCCCCCGACCAGATCCCCGGATTCGTCGCGGCCGCTCATGCACACGTGAGTTCATGGTGCCTCTTTGTGTCCAGCAACTACGGATTGCTGACTCTTTTACCCCCTTCCCGCAGAACGTCAAGGCCCTCATCTCCTTGGGTGGCTGGACCGGAAGTCGCTTCTTCAGCTCCGCCATTGCGACGCCCGAGAACCGCACCGCCTTCGTCAAGACCGCCTTGGACCTTGTCGCGCAGTACGACCTGGACGGTAAGTTGCCGGCGGGGGTCACTATTAGACCCCAGATGACAGAGAGAGCGAAACTAACAAAAGGACATCAGGTCTCGACTTTGACTGGGAGTACCCCAACCGCCAGGGCCTCGGCTGCAACGTCATCAACGCCAACGACACGGCCAACTTCGCCCTCTTCCTCCAGGAGCTGAGGCAGCAGCAGCCCAAGCAGCTGTACCTGACGGCCGCGACCAGCCTGTTCCCGTGGAACGACGCCACCGGTGCCGCCAGCACCAACGGCGCCCTCGCGCCCTTCGCCCAGTCGCTCGACTACCTCATGGTCATGGGCTACGACATCTACGGCGCCTGGGCGTCCACCGGCGGCCCCAACGCCCCCCTCGCCTTCGCCTGCGACCCGCGAAACAACCAGGGCGGCATCGAGGAGGGCGTCAACAAGTGGATCGCCGCCGGCATCCCCGCCGAGAAGATCGCCCTCGGTGTCGCCGCCTACGGCCACAGCTTCTCCGTCAACTCGACCAACGCCTTCACCGCGCCCGGCGTCCTCAACGCCTACCCGCCCCAGAACAGCAGCAACCGCCTCCAGGGCGGCAGCTGGGACAACGACCCACCGGTCGACGAGTGCGGCAACCCCCAGCCCCACAGCGGTACCTACACCTTCTCGAGCATGATCACCGAGGCCATGTTCCTCGACACGTCCGGCAACCCCAGCGCCGGCATCGCCAGCGGATACGACAACTGCAGCCAGACGGTATGTTATTGCTCCCCTTGGAAGTGATCTTGAGTATGAATTCCGGACGATGAAAGCTAATGATTGTTTTGAATGACAGCCCTTCCTCTACGATGAGGCCCGCCAGATCTGGGTCTCGTACGACGACGTCAAGTCCCTGGGCGTCAAGGGCCAGTACATCCAGTCGAACAAGATGGCCGGTTTCACCATGTACGAGACTGGCGGCGACTACAACAACATCCTTCTCGATGCCATCCGCTCTGGCGTGGGCTTGTAAGGGATGTGGGACGTAGTACTCGGGAGGGGCCGATTGGTTAGATAAAAATGTCTCAGCGACAGCTTGAATGCGACATATTCCCCAAGGATACGATACCATGCTTCCTGTGATTGTCCGTTGGGGGTGGCTGGGTTGTGTGTGAGATGACTTAATTTTCATACGTGACGCCACATGGGCTCGAACCGTGATTGCCTGGCGGGAGTAGGTGAGTGAGTGCCATCGGTTGTTGGTTGCTTGCCACCCACCTGAAGGGGTTTGTCTTCCTGACGGACGTAGAAGCCTCATTCTATCTACCCTATCGGAAAGGAAGGTCAGGTTGGAGCATACAACTGTGAAATGCTACGACCAAAGAGAGTTGGTTGTGGCCGTCATTTTGGCTGTGTATATCCATTCATACATCGAAAGCCGGTTTCATCCATAGGTCAAAGGAAATGCTGGAACTGCTTTCGATGGACAGCAGGCAGGCTACTTGGTTGATACAGGATTCATGCCATTCTTACAGAACAATGAACACACAACCAGTCCTGTAAGTCTTTGATTCTCTAGTTAACCTCTGGTCAACCTCTAGCCAACATGCTCAATGACAGTTTTCTCTCTCAGAAACATCAACTATCCATCAATTTGGAAGAAGTGGGGGCGGGTGTTCCTCTTGAGCAACCCAGATTCTTCTACCTCTCTCTTCTTCACCATTTTCAGCTGAAAACAAGTTTCATCATCATCACTTTGCTCCAACAAAAGCAACGTTCCAAGCAGCTCGAATCGTTCAAAGAGACGCAGGGACAACGAGCTCCTGTTGCCTCCCGTCGATCGAGTTGGTCCCGCCGGCATCATTGTCCAACAATGGGCTCTGGTTCCAACCCGTTCCAAACTACCGCCCTACCTCTTCCGCCAAGTTCAAACCCCATCACCTTTGAATAGCGACACGCCCCGTCATTTAATGAGGCCCAGCAGTCGGTGAGACTTCTCACTGCGTCTCACCTTGCAGTCTCGAGACCATAAAGCTCACCGCAGTCCACTCAACAACCACATTGCATCGTCACGTCTCAGACACGCTCCAAGCGGGAGTTCGACTGAGACGGCATTCCTCTCTCCTCTGGCTCCTTCCACGTCAAGAGAGAACGGTCTTTCTTTCCTCGAACCCACTATTCAAATTATCAAATCGTCTCTGCTCGGAACAGGTTCAAATCTTCCAAATCTCACAACTAACCCAACTTCCAACCCGGCTTGCCCACCAAAAGTCAAGCAAGCATACAAACCAACCAACTGCATTCACTCAAAATTCTACACAACCAAGCCTACAATCTCTTCTCACAGTAAGCATGCATCTCCGCCTCCAAGAGGTCTCATCCTGCTGACCTCCCTCGCCCCCTCCGCAGGCCATGCCTCCCAAAGCCGCCCTCCCGGTCCCCGGCCTCACCGCCACCGAGGCCGAGATCAAGCTCGCCTTCGCCGTCCTCAAGTTCATGCGCCGCCCCAACACCACCCCCGTCTACGACGCCATTGCCGTCGAGGCCGGCTCCGCCAGCGGCGACAGCGTGCGCCACGGCGTCCGCAAGGCCGCCGACAAGCACGGCTGGTTCTCCCAGGCCCCCGCCGAGGATCCGGCCTCCGCCCCCGCCGCCACCCCGCGCCCCAAGAAAGCCGCCACCCCCCGCAAGAAGAAGATCGCCGAGGTCGACGACGAGGACGAGGCTACTGCCGCCGGTCAGGGAGAGGACGAGGGCACTCCGAAGAAGAAGCGCGCCCGTAAGGCAAAGGGCAAGGCCGCCGCGGCCGCCACGGAGAAAGACGCCTCTGAGGGCGAGGAAGATGACAAGAACGGTGCCGCTTCCGCTCCTACCCCTGTGTCTGAGGAGGAGTGAGATGGATGATAAAGTGGTCCTTTCCGGGAGGGTTGCTACACGGACGTCGTCGGGTTTCATAGCGGACTCTGCTCTGTTTTCGGAGGATTCGTTTGACGGCACCTGGGCTGCGACGGGACATGGACTCTTTGGCGGTAACTACGGCGGCGGCTTATGTGCTTTGCTTGCTTGTTGTGACGGTTACGAGAGACGGCGGGAAACGTCGTCGCGACTCACATGCGGCACCCTGAAGCCTTTGCGAAAGTTGTAAATTACCCAAGTGGAAAAAAGCCCTTGCGTCTACATGTCATCGCCGCGTTGTGAATGTTGAATTAACCTAGACGACGGGTCTCTCTTACCTCCCAGTGGCAAGCAGCCCTGCACCTCAAGATACATCTACATCTCGAAACAGGGCGGGCGACTGGTCACTAAGCGACGAGGCCACGTGCGCGTTGGATGGATGATGATTATTCATAATTCATTAGCTTGAGCTACCTGAGGCCCACGCTCATGTTCACGTCCAGCCCAGACCTGCCGGCAACTGGTGTATTTCCCGTCCCTATGCAATTTCCTGTTTTCAGTATGTCTCCCACACGATGCCCGGTTCCGAATCCCTTTCTCAGTAGCGAGGGTTCTCGCCGTACTGGTTGTGGTCTGGGTTGCCGCCGTAGTTCTGCCCCCCTCCGTAGTTCTGGTTTCCGCCGTAGCTCTGGCCTTGGCCGTGTCCATATCCCTGTTGCTGTTCCGAGTGGTACTGCTGGTATGACTGAGGCGGCTGGTCTCCGCTGGGCCGATACTCTTGGTGAGACTGGTACTGCTGATGCTGATCCGGCCGGTATTCTTGGTGCGACGGCGGGTTGTACGGCTGCTGATGCGACCCCTGGCCACCGTACTGGTCATGCTGCTGCGGCGGCGGAGGGGCGTAGTTGCTGCCCTGGGGAGGTCCAGACGGGTGGCCGCCCGCGCTGCCGAGCTGCGACCCCGCCGTCGGCGCGCCGACGCTGACGTTCTCGTTGCCAATGTCGTCGGGAACGTGGATCTTGACCTTGGGGAGGTACTTTTGCACCTTTTGCTCGACCATGTTCTGCACAAAGACCCAGCTCTCGCGCTCGAACCGGCGGTGGCCGCCGTTGACGACGCCGAGGATGCTCTCGCGTAGAGTCTCCTGCACCTTGCGGACCAGGCCGCGGATCTTGTTGACCAGCTTGACCTTGATGTCGTCGCCGAAGCCGCGGTCGGCGTGGCCGCCAGCATCGCGATCGAGCTGCGCGTCGAACGGGTTCCCGCCGAGAATCTTCTCGAGGGGCCGCTGGAAGGAGTCGGGCAGCAGCTCGAAGAGTTGCTTCTCGATGCCGCCGAAGATCTTTCGGAACTCGAGGCGCACGTCGCGATGCACTTTGGCGAGGCCGGTGCTCAGCTTGTCGCTGATGACCCTGGAGAAGCCGCCGCCGCCGCTGCTGCCCTCGCCCTCGCCATCTCGGTCGCCGAAGCCCCGGGCACCGGCCTCCTGGGAGCTCTTCTTGTTGCCGAACAGGCCACCGAGACCCTTGACCAGGTCCTTGACTTGGTCCTCGATCTCGCCCTTGACGCCGTCGCCGAGGTCGCGCGTGCTCGTGTTGCCGCGCAGCCAGCGCTTGATATGGTCCAGGGCGATGCGGGTGAACTGCTCAGCGATTGGCGCGTGCTGCTCCTTCAGCTTCAGGCCGACCTTCTCCTTGATCTCGGGGCTAATGGCGCGGGCCTTCTCCTCCGGGTTCCGCGCGGCGTCTTTGACCGTGTTACTCAGGACACCGAGCAGACCGTCGAGCTCGAAGCCCTGGCCCCCGGGGCCCTTGTTCTTGTCCAAGTGGTCCTGCACGACGTTGATGGCGGAGGATAGGAAGCCCCTAGCACCGGAGAAGGAGTCGGTGTGGCTGACGCCGCGCGACTGGGTCTCAGGGCCGCCGCCGCCGCCTTCGGTGAGGTTAAAGATGTCCCGCAGGTCATCGCCGGCCTCGTCGGTGATGACGCTGAAGCTGCGGGTGAGCTTGCCAATCTCGTCGGCAAAGGGGAGGGACTGAACTCCGTAGGCATCTGGAGGCGCGTCGTTGAGACCTCGCGAGCCGTCGCCAGAGGGCTTGTCTTTGTTGAACAGGGAGCGGAAGGCGTCGATGACTTGGTCTTCGAGACTGTCGATGGTCCTCGTCTGAAAGGTGTCGATCTCGGCGGCGATGCGGGGTTGGATCTGGGGGGCGAGGGAGTCGACGTACTCGTCGACCTTTGTCATCAAGACATCGGGGAGGCCGCGGGAGTTGGACATTGTAGCTGTAGGCCGGTCGAGAAGGGGTGGGGGATGGAGATCGGATCGGGAGATTGAGGACACACACCGTTGAAGGATGGATTGGCGATGGTGCCGCACTAGCTCAAGTACCTTCTTTGGGTCAGGGTCCCTTGGCGGGGAAGCTTGGAGCTGAGTTGAGCTGAGCTATGTCACGTGTATCGGCAGTCAGAAGGAGGGGTCGGGACTGTCAGCCATATGACGTCATAAGGTACGTATATATGAGGGGCAGCCCGGTTCCCCGCACCAGGGTACGTACACTTTCTCAGCGATGAAATCTCTCTCATCTACGCATCTCATCTCATCGGTCACTCAGGCTGATTTATGAAGCAGACTACGGATAAGTCCAGTGCCGTTCACTGCTGGGCTTTGCCCCTATCCCGGGCCGTTGATAGTAGGTGGGCTGCTGGACTCTAGTCGAAGACATATGTGAAGTATGTCAAAGCACCCACTTTGCGATCACCCAAAAACATCACCATCATGACAACCACCGCTTTAATTGACTATCAACATTATCTTGATGCGACTATAATGTGATGTCACAGGAAACAAGGCACCCTCATTTAGTATATTGCCGCACGACACCGCTTCCGGCACGACTTCGCTCCGCGATTCAGGAACGAGGCGGTATTTAGCCACGAGGCGTAGTGTAATACTATCTAGAAAAATAAGCCACTTTCGACCACATGAATTGCCCCTATAGTGAGCCCGCTTTGTGATAAGTGACAATGAGTCTTCTGTGAGGATAATTAAGGCATTCTATAGTAAGCGCGCGCAAGCGTTTCACTATTGTGAGAAGGTCTTCTGAAGAAAACCGATGAATGAACGCTCTTGCAGTTGGCCGTCTTGGCCCTTGTGATAACACCCTACAGACTGAACGTTACGAAGAGTTGAGTAGTTTTGTCTGTTTTTCCTGCTTGAGCTATTATTATAGTTCTACTCCTTTTACAACTGCATCATAAGTTGCCGAGCCTCAAGCACACTCTACTATGGATTCTTTATCCTAGGATGGACATAATACCTGCCCGATCCTAGAATCTCTCGAAAACGTAGGTGTCCCTCCGAAAGAAAACACATCAATAGTATATGTGGCTTCGGAGGCATAATGATATCGATTCCTCTTTTAGTCACGAGTAGTCAGAGTCCCAGTAATAGTCACCATCAGATACCTCCTCCTCCGTAGTTGCATCATCTTCCTGCAAGTTCTCCTCCGCTGGCCACTTGTCCAATTCTCTCTTCTGCTTGAATGAAGGCGTATAGGTAGAATCGAAAGCCTGCCGGACCATCTTCCGTGTCTTGTACCAAAATATTCTGTAATGGGAGACCACAAACAGGGTCGCATTGTATGCTGCGTTACTGTCTTCTGTTTTCTCTTGCAAGAAGATGTAAAGAAGTCGGAAGGCAGAGTCTCGTGCGACGTTCTTCGATCCGAAGCACCTGTTATGCCCTTCTGTGTCCCAGTCTTGTTTGCCACTCCTCAAATCAGCCATCAGGTCACGGACCTGACGCCCTTGGAGAACGTCCACATTCGAAGCCCTGAGTGATTCGCAAAGGGTGTGGTAGTCACCGAGGCTCGTTGGCAAGCTGCGAAAGAAATGACGGAAACCCTTCGTTACTGCTGACCGAATAACGGCAGCGAAAGGCAAGTCGTCGCGGACAACATACTCTCCCATCTTAACATTAAGCAAAGCATTCCCCTTGCTGCGATTGGGTACTTGACCAGCCTCATCATCGCCCTGTCTGCAACTGACGCCGAAATCTCCAACTGGCCCTTCTCGAGCACCATCACCGCCACCCCATCGGGCGTAGAGGTCCCCAGGTAGCATCTTGTCCAAGTCGGTGTTCTTGTGAAACAGAAGCTTGGCACTCATAGCGTCGTATTCAATCGTCGCCCTCCCACCAAGCCTCTTCGCAATGTGAATGATCTTCTCGATCAAGCCGCCAAGCTTCGTCAAGTCCAATTGGTTGACCGCTTCCCAGTATTGGATCTTACTGGAAACATCTTCCACTTTTGGCTCAAGGAACCTGCCTTTGTCATGATACGCCCGCACCAACTTGGAAGTCTGAGAGATCCAGAGCTGTGGTGCCACTTCGTCTATGCTGAGAGGGTTCTTTGTGGAGCGAGTCTTTATCTCAAGCGTGGACTCGAGGGGTACCGCATAGCCGCCACCGCCAACCCTCAATTTGGACCCCGCAATGCTAGTATACGAGGAGCTCGGTGACGATAACGACAAGTTTCCGAGTAAATCGGAGAGTTCATCGCCTTTTAACTCTCTGTGGTTGTCAATACCATTCTTGGTGTAACCACTGGTTTCGTGGCGAACCACAAACTTCATCCCACAGAAACTGTATGATAGAATCCGATAGTGACCCTTACTGCCACAGAGTTCGGCAGTAGTGTATGTATTCTCGAACTGACGACTGAATCCCCGGAACTCATGGGGTCCAATATGTTCAGCGGTGGCTGATTCGGATCGACCTAGGATGGCGGTGTTATTTATAACTTCAATGTTGATGGTAAATCTATCAAACGGGTAGCTCTCTTGTCTGGGATTGATGAAATGAAGAAGTTTGCGTATATTATTCCGATCGGTGACCACGTCGACTGAACTAAGATCGAACTCGGGATGCGTGATCAACAACGCTCGGAATAGGGACTCCATTGGGTAGTCGGGATGTCGCGCCGCATTCTGATCTACGTAAACAACGCCGGAATCTTTCTCCAGAGTCTGGGGTCCCTTTGGAGGTGTCCAAAAACGCGGAAGACCAGGCACGGCGATTGATGGAGTGGTCTCTTCAATCCAGCTATAGGCGGACAAATATTCGACGTCTGTAATTGACGCTGGACATGATGTGTTGAGCTCTTTGAGATCCGCATAAGAGATCTCCGCCATTGAATAAGAAGACATGCTTCTTGATTGATTCTGTGGCCAGATGGAAGACTCGAAGTCAAGCCGTACAAGAACGATGATGGGACAAGAGGGAGGGAGCTACCGGCATATGATATTGAATGCCACTGGACTACAGGTACGAGCTGTGTATCCGAAATCTATCAAACAAAAGACTGGAACAGGATCCTTCTTCAAGTAAACATTTCTTAATAGCGCTGAATGAAAAGTGGTGATTCATAGATCGCATGTCATAGGACAATGTGGTGTAGAGGCGTTATCGGAATTACAGATCATGAAGGTGTACTGAAATGTATGGTCAATAGTCTAGCGCCTCAAGGTTTAGATATCAGTTTCACTCCGCGGGCCCTTTTGGATAAAAAGAAGCGATGGATGCAAAGTCTGGTATTAGCGCATTAGCTCCAATCTTGGTGTCCAGTACTGCAAAACTTAACACCGCCGGCGGCTGTATATCCCTAGAAGCGCAATCAGATTAGTCGATGTCAACTTTAAGTTGAGATCTTCGAGGATACGACAATACCTTCTTTGCGCCTGGTTTGTACAAGCTAACGAAAGGTTGTCCCAGGCTGATTATGCTGTCTGCTTTGGAGAGACGGACACAGCTGGTGTCATGCACAAGGATTTCCGATAACTTAAGATGGGTACACAAGGGCCGTATGAAAAGGCCCAGTTCTCTGGCTGGCATCCTACGTGAGCTTCTAGTAGGAAACCAGTCTACTTCGAGAGTAAAAGAGTAGACGAGTAGACATCAGTCGTGGTGAACCCGAGAGGAAGCAATCAGTTGGACGTATGTTGCGTTCTAACAAACAGATCGTACACTGGTAGTCCTGCTGGTCTGGCAAGGATGCTGTAATCAGTCGTATACTCGATGTAGGAGATACGTAGGCGGCGGGTCCACAGCAGAAGGATAATCTCAGAGTTACCGAAGGGTAAATCACAAGCTGATTGCTGGAGAGCTATGGAAGTCTACCGCTGTAGACGGTATGTTTATCCCGTGGGGCGTCGCTATTGTCCTTGTCACGAGTTCATGACAGAGCGTAGATTTTCTCGGTCCCCCCGACCCGTTTATGAGGGGAAATATCGGCGTCGGCAATCATGGTCAGCCTCCTGACGGAAACGCCAACCGGGGCCTAAGATAGATGGATACCGCCATCGCCCCGGTTTGTGCTGGACCGAGTGATCTCTGCTCCAAATCTTTGCATGACGACCAGCTTAGTCTCAAAACTGGCCGAGGGGTGTATCGTTCAATAGTCCGACCTTCACTGGGATACTATCCTGAGGGGGCCTAGGCTGGAGCCAATACCATCTTGCCATGTTAAGCTGAAAAGCGTTGTCTCTATTTCTTCAGTGACGCCAAGATAAGCTTCTTGTAGCCCTCGACGGCGAGCTCCAGGTCCGAGACAGTGATCCTTTCATCCGCCGAGTGGGCGACGAGGATGCTCCCGGGTCCATAGAGGTACCGCTTGTGCGTGCCTTTCAGCTGAGGAACATCAGTGTAGTAGTTGACAACAGTGATATTGAACCCTTTCTCCATGTCAGTGAGAGGCTCGCTGGGATACGCCGAGAGAGGAAAAGAAAAAGAAAAGCATGCGGCTCACCCTCGACGTCGTAATCCAAGCTCACGGGCAGCCCTTGACCTGTGAAGACCATGTCCACGTACTCCGGCGTGACCTCGGACACGGCCTTGCCGAGAATGTCCTTGATCCCCTCCAGGTCCTCTGTCGCTGCTCGAACGGTAGCCTTCCCCGCCGCACTCTCCGCGATGACGTTGGAGGCGACGCCGCCCTCTACGACGCCAATGTTCAGCGTGGTGTCCCCAAACTCCTCCGTCGAGGGCAGCGGCGCGTCCTGGATCCTCTCGAGAGCGCGGACGAGGAGGTCGATGGCGCTCCTCCCGTGTTCGGGGTACCCGGAGTGGCCGGCCACGCCGTCGGCCGTCACGTTGAACGCCAGGACGCCCTTGTGCGCCCGCACGAGCTTGTTCTCCGTCGGCTCGCCAAAGACGACGGCGTCCCAGGCGAGGCCCAGCCCGTTCGCCGCCGCCATGCCGTCGCCCCCGGACTCCTCGCCGACGACGAAGAGGAGGGCGACGTCGCCCTCGCCGACCTCGCCGCCGGCGAGCAGGGACTCGACCGCCGTGATCTGCGCGGCGACGCTGCCCTTGGCGTCGGACGTGCCGCGGCCCCGGATCTCATCGCCTGCGCGCGAGTACGGCACGTACGGCGGCACCGTGTCGATGTGCGAGGTGACGAGGACCCGCGCCGCGCGGCCGCTGCCCGGGTACGCGTAGACGTTATGCCGGTCGCCCTCGACGGTCTGCAGCTCGACGGTGAAGTTGGCCTCGAGGTAGGACTTGAGGGCCTGCGTCCCGAGGGCTTCGGCCTTGGTGGTCGAGTCGGCCTCGACGAGGGTCTTGTGTAACGCGAGGAGCGCCTCGGTGTAGGACGCAGCCCACGCCGACGCACCGAGGAGCGCGACCGCGAGTGGTATGTTCCCCAGCATCTTCATTCCGGGAGATTCTTCAAGTGTATATAGGAAACACCGGCCTCCGTACCGAAATGTAATTGTTCAACGATGATAAGGAGCTGCGGGCTGAATGAGGGGTAACGCTGCGCTAAGATGACGAACGCTCGGAATTATGCACGACGTCGGACAAGGCTTCGGCTACATCCTTGTTGATCGGTGCTGAACACGGAGTCTAGGAAGCAAAAGAAACCAACTAGCCGCCGGGTATGGCATGGATTGCCGAGCCCGGGAGCGTCGGACCTGATGCCGCGCCGCCGGGTGGAAGAGAAGGAATGTTGCGCCGCATGACAAAAACGCGTTTGCAATACACTGCATCCACAATGGTTCACGTTGTGGATGGCATTTCATGGGGCACACTACTTATGGCCGACCATTTCCCAAAGACGGCTTATAAATATATCTTGGGCTTGACGACGAACTAAGCCCGAAACTGGACCTGGCGACGCCCTCAAAACCCAGCAAATGCTGCAGGATCGAACCGCCAGCAGTTGTCTGGGCGGAAACAGACATTGGGCTTTGGGTTTTGGCTATGGTGCTTGGGCTTTGGACTTGGGACGAGATGATGGAACTATGGGATGACGGAACGATGAGACTATGAGAGACTGTGAGACAACGAGATGATGAGATGGTGACCGCCAAACACCGAAATCCCGGGGTTTCTAAGCACCTGGGCCCATTTGAGTGGTTCCCGTCCCCGTCCCAGATTTCTATGCACTTCCAATTACTAATTCGGGCGCAACTCATATATCAGCTCCAAGTCACCCTATCCATCACGAAGGACTCGAAATTTTCCAAAATCTCGAAATCTAACATCGTCGAGAACTCTTTGGACCTTTTCCCAAGCTTCACTGACCATTTTCAACTCATACCCTCGAAGCAAAAACAAAAAGCCTCCAAACAGCCACCAGCAAGTCCCAACCATGACCGGCACCATGAGAGCCCTCGTCTCCCAAGGCGACAAGACCGCCAAGGTCCAAGAGGTAATCTCGAAGTCTCATGTCCTCTGTCTTCCCGTTCACTGCCACTGACCTCGAATCCTTCCCCTCCCGTTCAGGTCCCGAAGCCGCAGCCCGGCCCCGGCGAGATCCTCATCAAGGTCTCCGTCGTGGCCCAGAACCCGACCGACTGGAAGTCCACCGCCTCCGCCACGGCTGGCCGCATCGTCGGCTGCGACTTCGCCGGAACAGTCGCCGACCCCAACGGCTCGTCCTTCCACGAGGGCCAGCGCGTTGCCGGCTGGGTCCACGGCCTATGGGAGAACCCTCCGCGCGGCGCCTTCGCCGAGTACCTCGTCACCGAGAGCACCCTCGTGTTCCCCGTCCCCGACGCCCTCACCGACGCCGAGGCCGCCGTCATCTCCCTGGCCTTCGCCACCGCCGTCCAGGCCCTGTTCCAGCGCCTCCGCCTCCCCGAGCCCAAGCCCGAAGACGGGACCCCGGCCGTCGCCGCCGCCAAGGCCGACGAGCGCATCCCCTTGCTGATCAACGGGGCCACCAGCAGCGTGGGCATGTACGCGGTCCAGCTCGCCAAGATGGCCGGCCTCCGCGTCATCGCGACCGGCAGCAAGAGGAACCACGCGCTGCTCAAGCGGCTCGGCGCCGACGTCACCATCGACTACCGCGACGCGAACTGGGTCGAGCTGCTGAGGGCCGCGGCGGGCAACAACCTCCGCCACGCGTTCGACACCATCAGCGAGGTCGAGACCACAAAGGCCGTCGTCCAGGCCGTCTCGCCCGGCGGCCACGTCATGTGCATCCTGCCGCGCAAGGCGGACGAGGTCGGCGCCCCCGAGGGCGTCCGGGTGGAGAGCACGCTCGCATACACCGCCTTTGGCCGCCACGTCAAGTACGGCTCTTTCGACAACATCGACGGGCCGAAGCCCGAGGACAAGGCCTTCTGGGAGAAGTACCTCGCGCTCCTGCCCAGGTGGCTGGAGGAGGGCAAGATCAAGCCGAACCCGCAGAGGGAGCTCGGCGGGCTGGAGGACATCCCGAAGGGCTTCGAGCTGCAGGCAAAGGGCGGCGTGAGTGCCGAGAAACTGGTCTACAGGATTGCCCAGTGATTGTTTGTCCCTTGGGTCGAGTGTATGCAAGGTGGATCTGACTTAAACTCGGCCAGTCACGCGCGTAAAGTAGCATCAGTGTGTTGATTATTATTAGCAAAAGTAATGAGCGAGAGAATGCAACAACCTCACAGGGCGACAAATCCCATTCATAGTCTCTCGAGGTTGGCTATGTAACGTGGGAGCCCCATGAAACAGAAACTTGAGTAAATACTCAGTTGAACACTCAGGTGAATATCCCCGACGACGACAAAGCAAGTGTCGGATGCGGTGATAGATGACCGCCTTTGGTCCGTTGTTCAAGTACTCAACATCATTGCGGGTGTTACATGTTGCTGAGCTCCTCCTCCAAACCTTCTAGTTCATCTTGTCCACCCGAGATTCCGGCCAACAGTTCCGACTGCGGCATGGGATCGACCGAAGGTCCAGCTTCCTCCTTTTCTTTGTCTTCCTGCTCAAAAGCCTCGATGGCGAGCGTGATGGTTCCATGAACATCGCCAGAAACCGTCGTCTTCCCTCCCGAAAGTTCGCCCGAAGTAGTCGCGGAGCTGTCCGAGGAACGGCCCTTCTAAGGCTGTTCTTTCTTGGGCATGCTCTCCTTGGAAAACTTGGCAAAGACAGTATAGTTCGGGTTGTCCACCAAACCACCGAATGTTATCATCATCCAATGGTAGAGCAAAGGCGTGTGTTCGAGATCGTCTGGTGGGCCTCGCCACTCCAGAGGGACCCAGACTCTGAAATGTTCCAATCTCGTATGCCCGAACCGAAGGAATGGGTGGTGTTTGGTTGGGAAGTGCTTCCAGAACTCGGCAGGATATGTCCGCTGCTTGTCGATGATTGCACGTCCGTAGTCCACCAGAACGGCGCGGGGTTTGTCAAGGTTTCTGGGCATGCTGATGATGACATTGTTCGGACTGACCCCGCAATGATTTATTCTTGCGTGACGGTACCGTTCAATAAGCTGAGCCATGATCTGCATGCGTTGATGTTGGTCGGTGGTAAAGCTTGCGGTGTATTTGGTATTTTCATAGAGCTGGACCGGCCCCTCAACAGGGCCACAAGGGCCGAACAGATCTTGCAGACAGACTCCGTCGACGTACTCGACTGCAAGGACAGCGATTTTGCGAGATCTGTTGCTCACTTCCTGGTTGACACTCGAAACCGTGGCTGTCCATCCTCCATAGAACTGCGGGGCGATAGGGGAGTATCCGGTGCTTATGAACTTGTTGCGGTTGAACCTAGTGAGGTTTCGTTTGTAGAGGAGGTGGTAAGCTCCGAACTCGTCACTAAAAGACTTGTCGGCCTGGATCGTGACTTTCACACTGCGCTCGGTGATATCGACAACCTTGTGCCAGAATAAGGGATCGAAAATCTTCAGAAAGAGGAGCTGCCCTCTGTCCGGCAACTTATGCTCGTTTTCCCATGGGGAGGTGGATGGTGCCTCGATGACGCGACAGCAGAGCTTCTGTGTGCCAGGTTTGTAGCGGGGATCCGGGGCGCCGCCAATCATTCGGACGATCTCGACCACCATTCCAGCGCTCTTGTCATGTTGATCCTTCTCGCGGGTCCGAGGCGCGTTTTGAAGTTCGAAAACCAGTCGGGTGAGCGAGTACTCTTTCTCCGCCTCAGACAACATCATGTCTTCCGCCTTTATATCATCTGGGATCGGATACAAGTTCGAGCCGTCACGTGTCTGTTGGATGGCCTCTCGTAGTCTCTGGTACTTTGGAACACCTCCAACAAACTTGCTTCATGCTGTTCATTGTTGGCCGCAAGCAGGTATCGTGTTAGCCGGCGCCCAAGTATTAAATGTGTCGCCGAGATTGCAACATATCGCAGTGTGGTCATTCTAAGTTCTTCCAGAAATTCGTCCGCGCAAGCCAGGCATCTGTCCTTGTTCTCCAAAACGAGAGTCGACGAGATCATGTTCCCGCTGGGGGATTGCCAGCTACACTTCGCAGTCCAGTCTGGAATGCTGGTGATGCTCTGAGGCTCAGACGGCAGTGGGTTCGGGATGACGGTCGTCTTCGACGCCTGGGTCGTTGAGTCGATTCGGAATGTTTCTGCTGAATGACCTTCGATCAGAACCAGCGCAATCTCTCTATTGATAGAGTCCTCAATAGATGGAGAAACGTCGGATTCATTCCGGTGGTAAACCAAAGACGGATCTGGCCGGGCCAGATCGACACCGACCAAACCATCGAACGAGTTCTGGAGCAGGAACTCGTCTGCCTGCGCCGTGTAATAGTCCTCATAGGTAGTGGGCCAAAGTACTCTTGGTAGAGCTACATTCTGTGCTGAGTCGCTAGGCGGATGAAGGAGCTTGGGCCGAACCCGGTCAATATCGATGTGTGGGAGTGGATGGTCATTCAGGATAGCCCTGATGATTGGCGGCGGGCCTGTCGACAAGTTGTCGTCCATGATAACAGATGAATTGGTGAAAGATGGTCGACAGAGGTGTCTGATGGGTGACAAGAACAGATGACAGACAGCTCGGCGGGAGAAAAGGCGAGATGATATAATACTACCTCGGTAGGCAGGTTGGGCAGTTTGACAGGCTTCCGGCACAACCAGGCTCGCTTTTGTCTCAAGTTGGGAAGAAAGTAAGAGAAAGTGAGGTCAAGGCAGGAAGAAGGTGAAGTCGAGGCAGGAGGAAGGAAGTGAAGTCGATGCCGGAAGAAGGTGAAGCCAAGGAAGGCAATGGGAAGGAGGTGAGCTCAAAGTAGGAAGGCAGTGAGGTCAAAGCAGGAAGGAACCACTCACCACCCAAAGAAAGGCATCACGAAAGCCAGACATGCAGTATGCTTGTCTCGCCTGTCTTTGTATCATTGCTCGTATGACTGGAAAGAATCTAATTATCAGCTGGGTAGAATTGATGGGAAACAATAGAACTGCCTGCCTACCATCCTGATTCTCAAAGTCTAAACCATCATTCACATCACTGCCCTCCTTGACAAAGAAGCGTAATGAATCAGATTCAGAGACCTAGATTACGACTAAGATCTCTGGTGGAGTGCCAAGACCGGCATAACATGGTCGAGTTGTAACTACTCGTTGCCTAACCTCGTCATGGTACCTATGTAGGTGGCCGCAGCTGTGGGGCCGCTGTTTGTCATCACAGACTCCTTATACGAAAGGGAATTATCCAGGCCCAAAAGGGAGAAGCCAGATGCCTCGGCCGTTTCTTCAAATGTTAACGATAATGGGAGGTGTGCCCCGGTAAATGTATAAACGTATATGGACATGCAGTCAGAAGAGTGCACACCGGATTCTCGTGACACTGCCTTCTTAACTATGCAGAGAGAAATAAGACTCTGTTTACTTGGCAAGTAATAGCACATCTGGCGTTTGTAGAGTGTAGATACAGTCAATATGGAGTGGATTGTACATAATGACCAAGCTGGTACCCGTGTGCCGGTGGTCGCCGGGCAGATATCTACATATATTTATTCCTCCACTTGGGAATAACACAACAAAAACAAGCAAAACCCACAGACGGGGGTTCGAACCCGGAACATTTGCTCCCTTGCCGCTCCTGTAGATTAAACAGTCGTTCCTTCCCTCTGGAAGAATTCCGACTAGCCTTCCTGCCCGGCGAGAACGTCGGGCGGCGGCAGCGGCTGCCAGGACTCCCTCCGCTGGCGGGGCCGGGACGTGTCCGTATAGCCATGGGTTCGAGTATATAGCCTAGTTCTCCGTGACCCCACGCTATCTTTGTCAACTATATCGATCGATGGGAGAAGGGGGGGGGGGGGGGGGGGGAGGGATGCTGGCTCAACGTCCGAGGTTTCGATACACGTCGCGCACCAAGGATGGAAAAGCGCAAGGAAACCCGTGTCCGTGTCCACGAGAAACCCCATCAAACGAGGAGAGGGAACCAGCCTCGCAGCCGGGCCTCTCCTCCTATCTTCAGAACATGCTATACACTACATCCCAACCCAGACAGCCACCGTAAAAAGAAACTCTAAAAAAAACTCGAGAACTCGGCAGACACGGACAGCTTCGACGTTCCCGGAGGAGCCGGCCATCAAAGACAAGGGCGGGGAGAAGGGGGGGAGGGGGGCTCCGTCGACACCATTCCCTTACCCCCACCACCAGTCTCTAGTCCGCCTTAGCAGCTTGACTGGCTTGGTCCTTGACCCAACGCAACCGGCCGTTCGTCTTTGATTGGTCGCCGTTGCTGACTGACAGGCGCGGGGACCGCCGACGGCAAACATCATTGTGCATCATGGTTGTCACACTCCTCCCCCAAGGCACATGCAAGAGGCTGGCTGCTGGTGACAAAGCATAATCACAGGCATCCCCCCTATAACCTGGGCAACGAGGACCCGGGTATTTCCAGCCCAAGGATCATGGTTATGAGTGAGCATGTGCGTCGTTATTCCTGTTGACTTTGCGCCTACGAACAAAACATGTATACCGCCCGCACCCCCCCGGCGACGGTCTCGCAACCACCGCCTCCGAATGTTTGAGCATCGACCCGGCCATTTCCCAGCGAATGAAAGAGAACAAGTCGTACCAGGCTCGGGTACCAAGCCCGCGTATCCGCCGATATCTCCCCCCAGCCCTCGGCGCGGCCTGGCAGGTGCAGGCCGGCATCACCCATATGTATCATCCACTTGAAGGCGATCCATTACCGTGCAACCCTAAAATCCATCATCTGAGGGAGAATGGATGGGGTATCTCAATGATCGTGAGCAAGCGTTGCTGAAACCAAAAGCAGCAAAAGAAATTCTAGTTGCGTGAAACAGCCGTAAATAAGAGGACCCAAACCCTGTGTCGCCTTTCGTCGAGGCATAAAAACGACCAAGGAGACGCGGACAACCAAGTCGGATATCAAAAGGAAATGAAACACATCGGCAGGAAAGCAACCAGTCGTTAAGGATGAGCTGAGCGGAGACGTGAGCGATTCAATAGAAAACACCCGGGCACGAGAGTAAAAGCAACGCTATGTAACAACGCCAACGGAGAAATGCAGTCGCCCACCGGCCTAGTCCAAAAGGGATATCATGATAAAAAAGGAGCCGTACGTCATGCGGAGAGGAGCTCTGCTGACATGGGATAGAGTAGAAAATGGTCATCAGTCGTGGTATGGAGTATGTATATGCCCTTGTTTTGAGAAGGCGGCGAGGGATCGTGACAGTTCGTCGTGTGTAAATGTTCAGTAGGCCGTGGCAGTAGTTCCCTCGCTTGTAGCGACGGCTACAAGCGTCTCAAGTCGTCTGAGAGGGTCGGGGTTACCTGGTTGTTGCTGCTGATGCGGGTGGTGGTGGTGGTGGTGGTGGTGGTGGTGCTGCTGCTGCTGCTGTTGCTGCTGTTGCTGCTGTTGCTGCTGTTGCTGCTGTTGCTGCTGTTGCTGCTGTTGCTGCTGTTGCTGCTGATGAGGGTGTTGTTGCGGCTCAGGTTGCCTGGCTGGAAACCCAGAAAAAGCAGTCATGTTGGGGTGGACCATACGGTTGACATGCGGCCCGCGAGGGTCGTTGTTGGGCGCTTGGGGTCGGGGTCCGTGTATGCTGCTGCCGGTAGGCCCGTGATACCACCCGTGTCGCTTGTTCTCCCTGGAGGCAATAGAGGGAGCGGACATTGTGTGTTGATGGCTGCGAGTAAAGGCACCCGGGTTGGAATAAGACGGCGGGTCAACCTCGAACCTGACGGTCGGTGGGTTCATCCGGACTTGCTCGGCCTGCGCCTGTACAGCCTGGTTCACCTCGTTCGCCCACGCACCGGCACTGTCGCGAGGCGGCGTCTTGTTGGACGTGATGTCCAGCCTCGTCAAACCCCGGTGCAGCCCCATATCCCACTGAGAAACGTTCCGCCGGTCTTCCGTCATAGCATCGGTGCCGGGCAAAAGTGCTCTCGGACGTGCGGCTTCGGAATCGACCATCATCGGCGACGGGATCCTTCTCGGAGGCGAGACCTGCTTAGACGGCAGGGGGTCGAACGATTCGATTCCGGGGAGTCGCAGGGTTTGTTGCGAGTTGGGGGCGTTGACAATGGGAGGCGCCGGGTTCGGCTGGATCTGGCCGGGTGTGAGAACATTGCTCAGATTGCTGGTATTGATGTTAAAGTTCCTCGTATCAGGGTGCCACGTCCGTCGACGCCACGCCTCATCAGCAGCGGACGATGCAGAGTCCCGTCTGCCAGAGGGCCATCCGGAAGTCGGAGTGGTGGGCGATGCCAAATGGCTGCTGGACGCGGGAGAGAAGGCGCCCATGTTGGAGGAGTTAGCGGGGGGGCCTGCACCAAAGACGAGCCTGTTGACGGGTGCGCCGTGGGGAGACTGGAAGGGGTTTACGCCCGACGGCACGCTGAGTCGTCTCCCCGGCGTCCTCGAGCCAGCCGAGTACATGCTGTGGGACCGAGAGTGCGAAGTGGTGGGAGAAGCAATAGCGGAACCCCATCGTGATGGGCTGCTCTGGCCGGGCGAGAATGTTGCCGACGTCGGCGTGCTGTAGTCGGTCGGCGAGACTGGGCGATAGCCATATGTCCCGTCAGCAGCGCTACGATAAGACTCGAGGGACAGTCGAGACC